AAACAACGTGGTCAGCATCCAATGTCGAACACTTAATGAACTATTGATTTTGGGGAATTATTTACAGCTACAGATCACTCCCCCCCTAGTGAGGTAGTGATGCCCCTAAGACGTGACCAGCCAGAAGTTTAAACCCAATGAGTTTGTCGCTGGTAAACACTCTTCTGATAGCTTGCTTCATTTAGCAGCATCTGGTCGTCTTTCCTTAAACTATGGGACCAAAATGTACAACATAGCAATAAAGAAATATAGTACAATGAAAATTTCGGTTTCTTGCGAAACTTCGTCGTTCTTTTCCAGCCGTCCTGGAAAAGAGGAAAAATAAAACGTGTGAGTGCATGTCGAAAATACACTCGTACTTGCGTAAGGACACAAGATGAGCGGAAAAAATAAACTGATACACTTACAAACAGCGTAAAAGTGATAGGAAAAAAAATGGTTTGTTTTTGGTTTTTTTTATATATAAAAAGTATATATATATACGCTCAAAAAAATAATAAAAATGTTTTTTTTTTGTTTTTTTATAAATAAAAAAAATGAGCATATTAAAAAAAAATTTATAATAAACAATGAATGGGTAATTCAAGATAAAGCTTTGTCCTACGTGCAATATTCTATAAGATGTTCTGGAAATCTTACTCGTCTTCCAGAACGCGTTGTTTTAGGTTTTTCTATCGACGTTGACGAAGTATCAAGTTGTATGTCGGTTGTCGTGTAAGGTACTACGAGTGCAGTAGCTGTGTCGTTTGCTTGTACCGAAGGAAAATCGACGTAGCTAGGGTTTCCTTCTAGGTACGCAGCTTTGAGTCGATCGATACTGATGCTATCTTTCGTACCGTTCTTATCGACTACATAGTACTTGAGTTCACGTTGAAGAACTTTGAAGGGTCCTTCGTATGCTGATTCGAGGGGTCGTCGATGTGAGTCTCGACGAACGAAGACGTCTGTACTATGTCGTAATTCGGGTTGAACGAAAACATCAGTTGATTGAGGTCGAGTGTGAGCAGGTTTAACTGAACGCATTGCGTTTGTAAGCCTACTCGTGTAAGTGTTTAGATCCATGTTCAATGAAGAAGCTGAAGGATCCACGAATTCTCCTGGGAGTCGGAGTGTCGTTCCGTAAACGAGTTGAGATGCCGTGTATCCAATGTCAGCTTTCAATGCATTGCGGATACCTAGCAAGACGAGTGGAAGAGCGTCTGTCCACTGTGAAACGTTTGAAGCTGATAATGAAGCTTTTAGTTGTCGATGAAAACGTTCTACCAACCCGTTTGCTTGTGGATGGTAGGCAGTCGTTCGGAAGCGCGTGATTCCTAAAAGTGTGGTCAGACAACGGAAAAGTCCAGATTTGAACTGGCGTCCGCGGTCTGTAGTGATTGTGGAAGGGCAGCCGAAATTTGCTACCCATCGTTCGACGAAAGCGCGGGCCACGGTTTCAGCAGTAATGTCCTTAATCGGTACTGCTTCTGGCCATCGAGTAAAACGGTCTACGCATGTTAGGAGATATGAGTATCCGTTCGAGTCGGGTAAGGGTCCTACCAAATCTAGATGGACGTGGTCGAAACGAGCGTCAGGGGTTTCGAAAGAACCTAAGGGACATTTGTTGTGTCTGATTACCTTAGATTTCTGACAGCTTACACAGGAGCGTGCCCACTCCCTCACGTCTTTATTCATGCCAGGCCAACAAAAGCGTTCGGCTATAAGTTCGATTGTTGCACGAGCACCTGGATGAGAAAGATTGTGCAACGTATTGAAGACGTTGCGGCGATAATGTTTTGGTACAATTGGACGATCCCTACCTGTAGATGTGTCACAGAGTAAGGTTTCCTTACCTGTTCCCATCTGCTAATACTTAGTTTTAAAGTTGTTGAGGATAACTCATGCTGAAGATCAATGTCTTCTTTTTGAAGCTGAGCGAGTTTAAGAAGGTCGATTCCTTGGAAACTGTTCAAGGAGCTAATTCGAGACAAGGCGTCTGCGACTACATTGTTTGCTCCAGAAATGTGTTGTATGTCTGAAGTAAACTGCGAAATGTAGTCGAGTTGTCGAGACTCTCGCGGTGAGTACTTGTCTGAAGATGAATTTAAAGAGAAGGTAAGAGGTTTGTGATCGGTAAAAAGCGTGAATTCTCTTCCTTCGACGGAATGTTGGAAATGCCGTACAGCACAATACATAGCTAGGAGTTCCCTACCGAACGTGCTGTACCTAGATTCCGCGTCTAGCAACCGTCTCGAGAAAAATCCTAAAGGTTGCCAAGAGTTGTTAACCCATTGTTGTAAGACTGCTCCGATTGCTGAGTCGGATGCGTCTACTGCGATACTAATGGGCGCTTGAGTGTCCTGATGAGCAAGCAAGGTTGCTTTAGCGATGTGTTCCTTAACTGTGGAGAATGCTTTACGGGCTATGTCGTCTAAACTAATTGATTTCGCATTTCCACGAAGCTGATCGGTTAACGGTTTCATTAGGGATGCGCATTTGGGTATGAACCGTCTATAGAAACGAGTCCGTTAAAAGTTCGTAAGTGCTTGATCGTGGTCGGTTCTGGGTAATCCAGAATGGCCGCCACTTTGCTCCTAAGGGGCCGGATGCCTTGGGCATCAATGGTGTGTCCTAGGAAGTCTAAGGAGTTTGTTCCGATTTGGCATTTCTGTATGTTGACAGTAATGCCATGCCTTTGGAGTCGATCGAAAACAATGTCCAGATGCTTAAGATGCGATTCTCTGTCCGGACTTGCTATTAGACAGTCATCAACATACGCATGTACGAAGTTGAGACCTCGGAAGACGTCGTCTATAAACCTTTGGAAGGTTTGAGCCGCGTTTCTTAAACCAAAAGGCATTCGTAGAAATTCGTAAAGACCGAAGGGAGTGATGATGGCGGTTTTAGGAATGTCGTCAGGTGCCATCGGGATTTGGTTATTAGCTTTAACCAAGTCGATTTTCGAAAAGACAGTTGTACCTTTCAAGGTAGCTGTCAAATCGTGAATATGAGGCAGCGGGTAACGATCGGGAATGGTTTTAGCATTCAGACGCCGATAATCACCAGTTGGCCGCCAATCATTGCTGTCCTTTTTAGGGACCATGTGCAATGGGGATGCCCATGGACTATTCGATGGTCGAATTATCCCTAGGTCCATCATGTGGTCGAATTCGTTTTTAGCTAACTTAAGCTTCTCGGGAGCGAGTCTTCGAGCTTTTAAAAATACAAGTGGTCCTGTAGTCGTGATGTGATGTGTAACATTGCTGGTTACACAAGGCAATTTCGATTGCGATTGGTATATCCCGGGGTATTTGTCGAGTACTGATTGGTACAAGGGGTCTATGGTGTGTTTAATCGTGACTGGGGATAACCTGCAACCAGAACAAGGAGTTACGCTAACAGATAACTTAGTGTTTCCGTCTATTAACTTTCGTGAGCGTGTGTCGATGAGTAGATTGTGGTGTTGTAACAGGTCTATACCAATGATTGGCATAGAGACATCTGCAACAACGAAAATCCAGTGTATAGGTTTGCGTAAACCCACGTTAAGGTAGACGTACCTTTTACCGTAAGTAGCGATCGGCTTTCCGTTTGCCGCCTGTAAACTTAAAACAGACTCGCGAAGTCTGTCGTCGGGATTTGCTGGAAGAACGCTAACTTCTGCGCCAGTGTCGACGAGGTAGCGAACTTTCGTAGTCACATCCGTGACGTATAACAGACGGCTGTGTTCGCCGGCTACGGTTGCCGTTAACGCGTGCCGGCTGGGAAGTTTCCCGAAATCTTATTCGTGTCAGTCGATTTTGAAGTCGGATAATTGCAAGGTTTCCTGCAATTTCTGGAAAACTTACCGTACTGGTTATGATATCAGCACCAGTCGGGATTGTCTGTCTCTCGTGGTCGAGAGCCAGATCGCTTACGTGAAACGCTTATATATATATATATCACAATATATAAAATTCAAATAAAGAATGACAATGAATAATAATATTCCAAAATGGAACAGACTCACAGTATATTGACTTGGTGTACCAGATCACGTCGGTCTTACCAATGATTATGCAACGGATGTTCTAGTTTTACAACTAGCTACCAGTAGCACCTTCTATATTTGATCGTTCCCAGTCAGATAGAAATCAGAAGTCAGACGAGAAGAGGCAGGAAAGATATATTTGATTGGTTACCAATATATCGAGGACCTTTTCTATGAGCTGGCTAATGAAACGTAGGAGCTGTGTCCCACGCCGTGTTGAAACGTGATCTGGTGCGGATGCATGACCGAAAGCCTTCAGCTAAACAAGTCCACTTAAACAACGTGGTCAGCATCCAATGTCGAACACTTAATGAACTATTGATTTTGGGGAATTATTTACAGCTACAACTTCTTCACATCAAGACAAGAACGGTAACGGAATCTTTTTGGATACATTCGGTTTAAGTTTTTTATGGCAATTGTCTCGGCGAACTGTTGTAAATTTAACGGTCTTTGTTTATTAATTATCTGAAAGGACTTTGAGAAATCAACACTATAGCCATTGTCATGCAGGTTGTGTGCAATCGCACTAGCGAAACCATTTAAATCTCTCAGTCCAAACTTCTGTAAAATGCTCCTAACAATGTGAATAATAACCCTACGTTTCTTTTATCGCGATTTATATGCATTGGCAGATCATGTTTAGGAGATGAAACTGTGGTGGACCAAAATGTATGATAACCAAAAATTAGCAACAAAAATATTATGTCTATAGTTTATGTAACAATTAACAGTTAATAAGTTAATTACACACACAAATAACAAAATAAGGGACGTTACTTAAGTCTTCAGGCTATTGCGTGTTCGGCTGGGTTTGGTCCAAATAATCCACAATTATAAAAAATTAGTAATCCCAATATGGACGATATAGATCCAGTAGGTTTACCAAGCGTAGAATTCAATAAGAATGTCGCAGTTGTCTATAAACGTAGATGGTATGCAATTAATATTTCATTCAACATATTAGCAGACATGGCAGAACGATGCAGATGTGCATTAGAGTGTATTTATTGAGAAGCAGTAACAGTGTCACGATATGTTGTACTCAAAACGAAAGGAAGTCGAGTTACAAGCGTTCAAAGTAATACACTTAAACAACAAGTACAATTGTTTAATGCTTAATGTACAGAATATGAAAATACATGCGAAAACTATGAAAAATTATTTACAAAATAGGTTTTAAGGTTCTATCTCCACATAGCTCCCCCCAGAGTGTCCGGAGGTAACACTGATTACAATATGAACAACAAAAATTGAGAAATATTGTATACAAATGTACATAAAATAGTATTTACTGCAATAACGGAAAAAAATGGTGGAGATAGGAATAAATGGCACGTTAATAATATAGGCTATGCTACGCAAAATGAAATTGAAAAACGAGCATTAAAAAGCTTTGGTTTGCTAACAATAATAATAAAATGTGGAAAGCTGTTAATAAAGTCATAAAATTAAAAAAAATGAATGAATTTAATAAATAGTTAGTTAGCATTCACTCGTTTATTACTATGACAATTTTTCTTATTAAAAAAAATTGGCAAAACCAGTGATAACAAATAAATGTAGTTATTAAATGTACATGTAGAGAAAATAAATATCTTTTATTAGAAGATTGCGTAACTTCACAAAGTAATGCATAAAACTGATTGATTGTGTTAGTCCATAAAATGTACATAACGTTTGGGTTTTTTAATAAGTCTCCCAGATCGTGTTAAACAAGAGGGTGTAGTGCTGAGTTTTTCCTCTTCCTCTTGTTTCTTAGCAATTGATGGGAGTGATTGTTTGTTCGCCGTGTTGTCATCAGTGGTTTGAGGGGGTTCGTAGAAAGCTGGTTTAATTCGGTCTATGGAAATGGTTTCATTGTTTCCGTTTTTGTTGATAATGAAATATTTGCAAGTGCGTTTTATTACTTTATACGGACCTTCATGTGGTGGTGTCAGTGGCTTTTTCACCGCGTCTACTCGAACAAAAACAAATTTGCACGTTTCTAAATGTTTGTCGAGATGGACTGGATTGTTGTATTCTCGCGGTGGTATTGCTCTAATGTTCTGCATCACTTGTAATAGGCAACTTGCGAAATGAGTAGCATCTTCTTGCATTGTAGGTTCACAGTTGACTAGTTGGCCCGGTAACGTTAGAGTTGTACCATAGACTAATTCGGCGGGTGTACAACCTATGTCTTCCTTCACCGTGGCACGAATCCCAAGGAGAACAAGCGGCAAGGCATCACTCCATTTTGTTGAATCAGTTTGAGCCATGAGTGAGCTTTTTAATTGCCGGTGAAATCTTTCAATCATGCCGTTTGCTGCTGGGTGGTAAGCTGTGGTTCTGATGTGTTTTACGCCCAGAAGTCTTGTGAATTCCTGAAACAGGATAGACTGGAACTGGGGACCACGATCAGTTGTGATGGTTGTCGGTACACCGTAGTGCGATATCCATCGGTTTAGAAAAACGGATGCTACAGTCTCAGCTGATGTGTCTTTGATGGGGCATGCAATGGCCCATCGAGTGAATCTGTCTATTGCCGTGAGGATGTGAGTAAAAGAATTTGACGATGGTAGAGGTCCTACTAAATCTAAATGGATATGCTGAAAACGTCTATCAGGAATAGGAAATTCTCCGATTGGGCTAATAGTATGCTTTTGGATCTTACTACGTTGACACTGAAGGCAACCACGTGTCCATCGTTTAATATCTGAATTGATTTTCGGCCAAACAAAACGTTAGTTATCAGCTTCGTAGTTGCTCGGATGCTCGGATGTGATAAAGCATGAAAGTGTTGGAATAACTTTTGGCGACATGCAAGTGGAACAAAGGGACGATTGTTACCTGTTGATGTGTCACAGATGATGGATGCGTCGGAAAATGGGATGGGTACAGGTTGGAGATTCAGGCGAGACTTTTCTTTGCAGGTTTTTAGCTCTGCATCGTCTGCTTGAAGTTTTGCGATTATTTCTAGGTTGACGTCATGGTTGGATGCAACTACATTGATGTCTTTTCTCGACAACGCATCTGCTACAATGTTGGAGTGACCTTTGATAAACTGAATGTCTGTGGTGAATTGTGAGATGTAATCAAGCTGTCTTGCTTCGCGTGGTGAATGTCTGTCATACGACATACTAAAGGAGTAGCACAGGGGTTTGTGATCCGTCATGATGGTAAAATCCCGGCCCTGTAGCAAAAAATTGAAGTGTTTAACGGCTAAATACATGGCTAAGAGTTCACGACCGAATGTACTATAACGCTCTTGTACAGGTGATAACCTTTTAGAGAAGAAAGCAATGGGTGTAATCGTATTGTTTACTCGTTGTTGTAATACTGCCCCTACGGCTTTTTGTGATGCGTCCGTACAGAGGATCAGATGAGTTTTGGGGTCAGTATTTAGATGTTGTAGCATGGTGGCGTCAGCAATCAAAGATTTGGCTTTTTCAAATGCCGTTTTGGCATCGGAAGGTAACTTGAATGGTTGATTCTTTTCCTTTTTGCCACCTGATTTATCGTTTTTTAGTAAGTCAGTTAACGGTTGTAGAACGTCGGCACAGTTAGGTAAAAATCGACGGTAAAAATTGAATGCACCCAGGAAGCGACGTAATGACTTAACCGAAGTGGGTTCAGGATAGTTGATGACGGCTTCAACTCTCTTTGGTAGAGGTTTAATACCTTGTGCATCAATATAGTGTCCTAAGAATTCTAAGGCAGACGTACCGAATATGCATTTAGTAGGGTTGATAACTACGCCATATTTCTTGAATCGTTCAAAGAGAATCTGCAGATGATGGACATGCTCTTCAAGTGAGGAGCTGGCAATTAGGACGTCATCGATGTAAACAAATACGAAATCTAAACCTCGCGTGACTTCGTCCATAAATCGTTGGAATGTTTGCGCAGCATTCTTAAGCCCAAATGGCATCCTCAAGAATTCAAACAACCCAAAAGGTGTGATTACAGCTGTTTTTTCAATATCCTCAGGTGCCACTGGGATCTGATGATAAGCTCTAACTAAGTCTAGTTTTGAAAAGATCAGTTTACCGTGCAGGTTTAGTGAAAAATCATGTGGATGAGGAATAGGGTATCTGTCTGGAACTGTCTGATTATTCAGACGCCTATAATCTCCACAAGGGCGCCAATCTTGATCTTTTTTGGGAACCATGTGCAGTGGCGAGGCCCAAGGGCTATTAGACTGTCGGATTATCCCTAGTTGCATCATATGTTCAAATTCTCTTTTAGCGGACTGCAACTTATTGGGTGGTAGTCTCCTCGCCTTGGCGCAGATAGGTGGACCAGTTGTAGTGATAGTATGTTGAACATGGTGTGTGGAGTTTTCAGTTTGATAATCGGCTTTTGTTATACATTCATACTTCGATAGAAGACCGGCAAAAGTTTGACTATCAGGTCTAAGCAATCGGACACCATAAGTTTCATAATTGCAGGTGATTGTTCCGTTGACCTGTAGACTTGTATTCACGTCGATAAGTTTCTTTTTTCTCATGTCGACAAGGAGATTGTAGTTACTAAGAAAATCGGCTCCAAGGATGGGTTGTTTAACTTCAGCGACGATGAAAACCCATGTAAAACGTCTACGGAGACCGATGTCTAAGATGAGTGATTGCTCGTCATACGTTTTAATAATAGAATTGTTTGCTGCCACCAATGATAATTTAGCGTGTTGGGAGTGCCGTCGTCGGGATAGATGAAGTGGGAGTATGCTTATTTCGGCTCCAGTATCGATTAGAAAATCCGAGCCCGAAATACGATCCCTGACATGAAATAGACGGCTTGAGTTGTGGCCAGAGTCAGGCGCCGCCATTACTGCCTGGCCGGACCGTTTCCCTGGTTATCAGTGCTGGGTAAGGGGAATGCACACGGGCGTGTACAACGCCGTGCTTTTGTGCCGAATTTAGTATGATACCAACAAATTTCGGATGGTCGTTTAGGTGAACGAGATCGTGGTCTAGAACGTGATCTCTGTCTAAAAAGGGGTCTTATTTGTCTGGCCTGAACCGTTGCTACAGTGGTTTGAAGGGACTCAAGTTGATTCGTCAATTGAGATAATTGTCTTTGAATAGAGTTTAAGTAACTGACATCAGCTGCTCCATACGGCTGCATCGTATTTATATAGTGATTATCATGACAGACTTCCATTACCTTATCCGCCATATCAGCTAAATCGTCGAGAGGGGAAGACTTCCCCAAGGCACTTAGGATTTGTCTGACACTGCGTGGTAATCGATTGAACCACATTTGTTTGAGGAGGGCTTCGTCTAGTTTATAAGGGCCTGCAAGTTGTTTCATGTGTCGGAGTAGTTGGGAAGGTCTTTTGTCTCCCAGGTCACATGCATTCAAAAGTTGTTGCAATCTTGTCTCATCTGAGACTGTTGTTCGCAGAATTAAAGCCGCTTTTAATGTCATATGGCTCGGTTTCCGGAACCTGGTCGATAAGATCTCCCACTTCGGTTGCAACTTCGATCGGGAGTGAGCCCACCACATAAGCGTACTTTGATGCTTGGGAACGTACACCCCTGGACTGGAATAAGGCTTCAATTTGAGCAAACCAGATTCTAGGATTATTTACTCCATATGGTGGAAGCTTAAATTCAGAAATGGCGTTGACTGGACTAAATATACTTTCAGTAAAGTTAGATGATGAACTATGAGTGGTTACTGGAACAGGATCCATATCACTAAGCTTAGGTGGAGAGTACATTAGGTTGAAGATGAGCAAAAGTGTCGTACAATGAGCGAATAAACAATATAACAATGGTATAAATGCGAGACAATAAAATACTGGGCTCACCAAATAATTGTGGTGGACCAAAATGTATGATAACCAAAAATTAGCAACAAAAATATTATGTCTATAGTTTATGTAACAATTAACAGTTAATAAGTTAATTACACACACAAATAACAAAATAAGGGACGTTACTTAAGTCTTCAGGCTATTGCGTGTTCGGCTGGGTTTGGTCCAAATAATCCACAATTATAAAAAATTAGTAATCCCAATATGGACGATATAGATCCAGTAGGTTTACCAAGCGTAGAATTCAATAAGAATGTCGCAGTTGTCTATAAACGTAGATGGTATGCAATTAATATTTCATTCAACATATTAGCAGACATGGCAGAACGATGCAGATGTGCATTAGAGTGTATTTATTGAGAAGCAGTAACAGTGTCACGATATGTTGTACTCAAAACGGAAGGAAGTCGAGTTACAAGCGTTCAAAGTAATACACTTAAACAACAAGTACAATTGTTTAATGCTTAATGTACAGAATATGAAAATACATGCGAAAACTATGAAAAATTATTTACAAAATAGGTTTTAAGGTTCTATCTCCACAAAACTGATGAGGAATTAACCACAGGTGAATGTTGTTTACGTGACAGTGCTTACACTCAGAAATGTATGGGAAGACTTAAGTGGAGGGAATGAAGTATGCTGCAGTCTAGAACCCTTCCTTCCTAAAACCTGGCTTTAAGGGTGACAAAATAGCATTAAATATTGATTTTAGACCAAAAGTCATTACAAAAAAGTACGTATTCAACTGCGAAGCAGATCCTCCCGTATCGAACGAATCGCTTATTATGAAAGTAACTTATGAGCATATTGCAGCCTGGTGTTACCTCCAATTATTATTAGCTTTATTCAATATTATATTTTTGGTACAATATAGAATTCTCAGCACAAAGTATTTCGACAAGTTTCCGTTTTTTACTTCTTCGTCCTTCCTGACGATAAATATTGAGTGATCGCCAGTTAGAACTTAGCAGCCCAGTCAATCGACATCTGGATAATGTACATTCTTCTCGCTGCATATTGCCAGCAACCACGATATCTCTGATTAGGCATTCTGTAACCTTTACAGGGAAAGGTCTTACACTTTCCAGAAACGCACCTGAGTAGGTTGTGCGATTAATAGGCATAATGAAGTATTTTAACAAACGAAATTAGATAACTTGTTGAAATATCTAGATGACAGGGACAGGAAGCCCAGATGTTTAAACAGACCGACAATGTTCAATAGTCTGTTGTCTGCCAGTTTACATTTACATGCCAAGGCACATAGGGAGAAATGGGAGTTATCAATAATAATAAGTAGTAATAGTGAGTGAAAGGAGGGACATGATGAACACACGCTAACAAGAACAAATCATATTTCCCCGTGAGTATAGCAAACCTGTGCTGTAAGAGAACGACAATGAATAATAATTATGGACATGGCTATCGAGTCTTCTCTGCAAATTATAAGTATCGGTAGACAAACTGGCTGGGAGAGCGTTTCAGGCAGGGCTGGCTCACAGTAAGGGAAAGTACGACCTTACCTTGAAAAAAAAGTGTTAAGGCTCAGGCGGTACGTTTCTATTGTGTGCTAGGCGAGAGAGTGCAACAGTATTGTGCGTGTTGAGGTGTGGGTTCTGATTGGTTTCAGAAAAAGTCCACTAGTCAGCGTAGATTTTCGCCTACAGAGTGGCATAAACACCTTGTTGACAATCTTTGATGACATCATAGCCTTTTTGTAGCGAAATACTCAGATCTAACTCTACCAAGGTCCCAGAGAGATGATGACTATGAAGGAAGTGGCCGATCTGATTCTCATGTTTATTGTGAAACAGCGCTAAGGATTCTGACAGGCAAATTTCAGATCATTGTTCTGTGATCACTATCCTAGTAGGATTAGGCATCTTAATAGCCATTACCAACTGTCTCTACATATAATAGCTTTCTCGTCCACATACATAAAGACTGACGAGCTGGGGTTTTCTTTGAGTTTACTAATAAACATGAAGCACGACGGAAGACACAGCATGGTGCTCTGTGGTGCCCCGAGACATAGATGCTCCAGCATCAGTATCCTTCCGAACACTAGCCAAGGTATAATTTGTATCTCTCTCCTCAATATAATAAGTGTTGAAACCCCAGTCTGAACTTATTGATTAGATGCCTGATCTAAACGTTTTGCTAAGCGAGCGTTCAAAAGCTCTAGAGGTGGATGACAGTCAAACTTTGGGATGCAGTGATGCAAAATTATGGGTTATCGCTTCCAAACTTCGATGGACTGGAATAGAAAATCTTCTGTTCTTCGGAATCTGTGTCTGGTTATAAAGAGAGCGTTCTTGATTAAGTAGTATAAACTCTGCAATATTCCTTCTCAATCTAAAGAACAAACACACTAGTTATCAGTTGCTGGTGACCGAAGACTGACAAATGTAGTAGTCCCCTTAAGTACCTATAAAGCTAAGGTAAACATCAAGACTCCATTTCAAATACTAAGAGTACAGATTTCGTTTAATCGGCTGAAGAAAATAAACGGGAATAACCACCGACAGTATTAAAAAATTGGATATCTGGGTCCTACTAACAGTGCAAAGTGAGACGCTTGAGTGACTAATCAGATGTGGTGTTTGTTTATGATTATTGCTGACCATCAGCATTCTGGTTTTAGTGGTATAACAGATGGAAAGTCGAAGATGGACTGGTCAGTTGCTTTATTCAGTTCTTGAACAGTCAAAATATCTGACGGACCTGGCTTCACCCTCAAAATCTTGAGTTCGAGAATTTCCAATGATAACAGGTCAATAATAAATGATGAGGAGTGGAACAGGCTAAGTATAGAGTTATGCGAAATTTCACTTATAAATGCAAAGCATCAGACAAAACAGTTACATCAGACGAATTTTAATCTCCGTGGTAAGTACTTCCTTAGCTACTTTTTTGAATTCACATCAAAATCCATTGACCCTAGATTCATATAAGCTTGATGACCAAGTCTACAGAGTGACTTGGAGATGTTAAGGAGGCATCTGTGTACTGAGGCTTCACTGTGTGAGTTAACTGTTTTAGAAAACAAGGGAATGTCATGTATGTGATATATTTGGAAGAAAGGCATGTTCAAGTTTAGGCAGAATAGTGTTGTCGAGATCATTGTAGAGGTATTCAATGTTACCTCCTCCCATAATCTCCATGACTTTGGAGGGTAAAATATCTATCGCATAGCATTTGGTCATTTGCTCGTTTGTCAAGAACATCTTTTGTTAATTCCAAAACCTGATTTGGATGCCGTTTAGCTTCTGGACAAATTTTAGATACTATTCTGTAGATCACCAGATGGGGTAGTCTAGGTTTATGATGGGCGCCAATCCCAGTCGGATGGGAATGGTGCGACCTAACTTACGACGAAGTCACACGTAGCAGTTAATACGTAAAACAGATTGTCATCTTGTGGCATCCAAGCACTGAGACTATTAGATGAAATATAGAACAAATATGACATTATAGACGAAGTGTATTGGTGAAAATGGATTGGAAGAACAGAGTGCGACCACTGCCACATGAGCCAGTTCATAGCTTGCCATTCGTTGATCCGTGCCGGTCGCCATCGACCTGGACGGAGGTCAGTAAACTGTTCAACATTCGATGACCTGCCTAATGGATGACTTCGCTAGGACACAATGACGTTTTACTAGAAGAGTGCTAGAATTACACGAATTCTTGTACAAGTAATCCTCTGTAACTCATAATATCCAAGATGTCTGCTTGGTGACTTTATGGAGAACTTCATCATTGTATATGTTGACGACAAGGAAATCGTGACGCCTGACTTATATCAACATGAGATATCAGATCTGGCTGCCAACTTCTAAATTTTGTGGACTCATTTCTATAATCTTTTGTTTTGGGTAAGTGACCTACGTTTATTCATGATGACAAGAATTAAGTGACTGTTATTTTTAGAACCTTGATATATCTATAATAGCGCCTTAACTCTGCCTGTAGCCAATAAAAGGTTACTGACGGTCTAGAACCTGAATAAAGGAAGAGGGTTGGACATGGGGTCAGCAAGCCTATCCTATAGAAAGCGATCTTGATAAGGCGCAAACTACAAAAAGATCCTTTAAACTACATGAACTTTGTCCTAACAGTTGGAGGATCATCATCTAACAGTGTTAAGACGACTCATTGCGAAAGTCCAGAATTTTAGGAAATCATGAGGCCGATTTTCCTTCTGACAACCCGAGGAACAATTAATATAAGTATGTGAAATGTTTGGACAATATCAGAGAACCATTCAAATAGCTGCAGAAATGAAAAAAAAATAACCTGTCAGTGTCTCGGGTAAGTGGAACCCATTCGACAGAAATTAGCTTTGGAAGAGGTGCCGTAGTACTGTGGTCATAAAGAGGACGAGGCTTCACACACAGAAGTTTCACTGACGCCCTCTAAAAATAAGAATCTAATGAATCCAGGATCAACAAAGCGACATTCACCACCAGCTATTCCAAATACAGTGTTCTTTCTTTGAACGTAGAAATGGTGACGAGGATTCGATGTTATTCCGCATTCATTACAGATCTGATTATATCTTCAGCTTAAACCTACAATGGTCCAAAAGTCAATGAGTTATGAGCGGATACTATATCATAATGTGGCTTTAAGAGGAACATGAACCGTAAACAGAACGTTTTCTACGACCAACATAGCATAGCTGGAGAATGACAGAACGACTGTTACTTTTGGTCTAAAAGACTACTTAAATAATATTTGAAAAGGACCTTAGGATAACTAAACGGATGACTCCAAGACGACTTGTTATACGAATAGTGACTCCGGAAGTTAAGCGCCTTTGTTGTCTTAATGAAGATAAATATATGATGTACAGTATTCTATAAATGACTTTTCACCCTATAAGTCTCATGCATTTTCACCAACTACGTTAGAATATTCCTAAGGATATAACAGGGAATCTCGATAGTCTGGAACAAATCATCCAACCATAGAGTAGATCTTTACCGACTACCAACTCTTTGAAACCCATAATTTGAAGTGTTGATCTATTTTAGACTACTTTATTTATGGTACGCAAAAAGTAGTCTTTTTTCTATAGACGACCTATAGTCAATCCTATCGAAAGGAAACACTACTATTAACTATTGCTTTTTTGAATCGACCAGGAAAAAGTTAATTTCAGTTCTTATTCCGAGAAAGGTTAGTACTGACTTTTCACCATATTTTTGACTCGATACAAACAAACAATCAGGTCAGTGGAGTTGAATCCATCACGTAAAAAGAAGAGAAAAGCATCCTCATTATACGACTACAGAGGGGAGGAAAAATTACAATTTATGATAGTAATAATGACTACAATAGCAATTGGTGATAACGCGTAGCATACACAGAGGGAGCGAGATAAAAAACGTATATACTATAGTAATACCGAACAGAACAATTTATAAAAACTGAAAGTAAATAAATATAATGATTGTTAATTAATTCTTAAACAAAGCACAAAGCGAAATTGCTAAAAAATAATTGTGCAGTAGTAACAAATGTGTTATTAAAGAATTTGCAACACGCAAATAACAATTAAACACAGGAAAGGAAATAGAGTACACATGCGGAAAAACGTTATATAAAACAAACGAACAGATGTAAGAAAAAAGCACAAAACAATTGTAGCTGATATAACTAATACAGAAAATATACTGAACATTGAGTCCATTTTTTGGTTGTGTTTTTTTTTGTTTCAGTGACTTCAAACGTAAAATACAATAAACAACAGAAGAAAGTGCATAGGATTACGTAATTGAGTGACAATTTTTACAAGGTTTTTTTCCACTTAGTGACAGACAAAAAACAAACAATGCTTCCGAGTAGACATACTTAGAACAAAAAATATCGACTAACTGTAAGATTGGATTGAAAAACATTATTTGTATTTATTATTACAAACAAGAAGAGATAGTAGGCAACCAGAAAAATATACGGGAAGGGTTTTTGAAAAATTAGAATATAAATAACAGTCTTTAGTCCAAGTCTGTGATATGCGTTCACGTCTATAAAACTATATTTATATAAAAAAACTATTCCATAACAAATGAACGAATAAACTTTTTGATAAAGGATCATCAACATTAACAGTTCGCAATGAAAACTTAGTTCCAATTGTATGATATTTTCCTCCCATAATATTGTTTTGCTTCAAAGTTCAGCTGTGGTTTTCTCTTTTAGAAAAAAAACGATTCATTCGAAACAGAAAAGATAAACACACAAAACTTTTTTTTATATCAAAATATAAATAAAGCTATGGTTATTACTACTAAATACGAATAGTTTGTTCATATAACACTGTGAGTGCTAGTAATAACAATAGTCGTTCAATAAAGTATTTGAAATCGAAAAAAAAGAAAAACGGTGTAAGTAACATAGAAAGGGAAACCATGACACGATACGGCATATATATATATATATATATATATATATATATATATATATATATATATATATTCACGATACACTGAACAATTAACAGGATGGTTTTATACAGTGTACCACACCCATACTTGTATAAATACTCCTCAAGTCATTCACTCACCTAAATATATTCGGATAGGAATGAAAAAAAACAAGGGAAAGAATTATTACATAATATTACTTCATAAAATTATGAAGATGTTGATGAAAAAAGTAAAAACAAATCAGTCTTGTGATTAAATGATAACGATTAAACAAGGCAAAGTTACTATTGTCTAATCTCCGTGAAGTTGGTATATTATTAAGAACTAGGTACTATTAGATGAATTATGGAACTCAAAACAACTGTCAGTCAACATCAAAGTCAGAATCTTTAATAAAAACGTCAAGACAGTTCTATTGTATGGGGATGAATTTCGGAGAACTATTACAACCATAATCGAAAAAGTGCAAGTATTTATAAGCAGTTTTCTAAGCCAGATACTCCAGGTCGGTTGGTCGGATATCATCAGTAACAACGTACTGTGAGAAAGAACTAACCAACTTCTAGCTGAAGAGGAAATTAGGAAAAGACGCTAGAGGTGGGCAGAACATACATTGAGGAAACCAACAAATTGCATAATGAGGCAAGCCATAACTTGGAGTTCTGAGGACCAAAAGAAATGAGGCACACCAAAGAACACATTGTAGCAATAATTGGAGGTAGACATATGGAGAACGAATACTTGACAACAACTAGAAAGGATTGTTCAGGACAGAGTCCCAAGGAGAATCATGATGGGCAACGTACGCTATTCCACGACGGGTAACAGCAGTAAGTAGGTAACCGTCAGACGAAAGGAAAGCAGTCAATTATTTAGACCTTAGTATGAATGTTCAAAAGACAGACATAAGGGGTCTCAACTGTGTTAATACAAGACGTGTCAATGAACTGTATACGAAAGATCCTGCTGAGAAAACTTATTGAAATATATACATCTGCATAAAACCTTAAACACGTCTAGCTTATTTTCTGCAACAAATACATGCTTTTGTATAAATATTTGTCAAAATAACATGCGACTACATATATGAGTACAGATTAATACTAAACACTAAAATTTCAAATATAATATAACTTAAAAATGTTAAATAAGTAAACATAACATTAGTATAGCAATATTAGTGAACAATTTGTAGCTCAGAGGGAAGTATAAATAGTAACTGAACTGTTGCTCATGATGAGATTTCCACCCATGTATGTAAAACAAACACTATGAAATCCACCTAACCCGCTAATGAACACTAACAATAACATAGTTCAAATGAGACTTAGCCAGTCGATTAACCTTCTATTTTTAAAACTTTGCAAAAGACAATCTGAAAACAACTGAGCGATTGCTGAGAAGTGACCAATGTTATATTGTTCTAGTCCTTCAGCCCTAATCGGATTCGGTTGTTACATTATAGACACTAGTCGATAGGTCAGTCACGGGCAGAATAACTCAGTGGCAACTTTAAATACTGAAACTGAGTGACGCAGGTTCTAATCCATCAGGATAAACAGGTACACCTTGCTGACGCGTGTCAGTTAGCACGAAACCTAGCTCAACGGTTTTCTGTCGACTACCTAGCATCACAAACGCGGAGAACTCTCTTTTCATGTAACATTAAAAAAAATACTTCCTATTTTTAAGAAAAGTTAAATCCATGACAAAGCAATCATGATTATTCTAAAAAGAGGATTGACGCAAGTGAGAATTTTATGAAAACAATGTTAGTATCAAGTACCTTGAACAGATTGGGACAAGTAATAATAATAACCCCAGCAGCAGAATGCTACAAATAGTGATAAACTTTGTAAAAATAAATAAAATCAAACCTGGTAACCAGATTTATTCTTGTAACTGATATCGAAGATAGATCTTATTTGTACATAAAATAGTGCATTATAGTCAGTCGTTAATAGATATTTTCAATTAGTTTAGAACAATCTACACAAATTAACGGATCTTAAGAACCTAATACATCTTCATATCGAATGATACTTCAGTAGTATCAACATTGGTTGGATGGTTTCAAAGAGGAATGATGGAAATTCGTGGATTAATTACTCAGTTAAAGTTGGTTGTATTGATAATATGATAGTAGTGTTTTTAGACACGGAGTTAGTTTTTACCAAATGATTCAACAATAACGTGCTTATTAATGTTGAACTGAAAGTTTCCAGTATGAGCTAATGAAATATGAATTAGTGCAAAGCAGTTAACACATAATAAGTTCCAGTGGGTTCTTCACTGAACTTCAGAGAAGTCTAGTCAACATATCTATCTAGCAATATAACTGTGAACTCAAGCAGTGTTGATAATAAAAATTAAAAATCGTAGGAACAATGTAAACAATCGTATACTGATTGGCAAAACAAACACCGCAAAATAGATAATCACTGTTACTTACATGATGAAGAAAACGAATAGAGAGAAAAAATACTAAATACATTAGTATGTATAGGTCAAACATTACAACAACCATAAGTAGCAAGCAGTTTGTTAGCCTAATACATCAAGTTTATGGTTAAAACATTTTACAGATTGATGAATAAACAGTAATAGACTAATTGTTAGAAATACGGATTAACTGTACAGATGATACCCACAGGCAATTTTGCTGTCGTTGTTGTTGGTGGTGATGGCTGTGGTGCCGAAGAGCTTAAACTAGAACTACTCATATATATTGGTTGTAGTAATTGTTGCATCTCTGATTTAGATGTAGTATTAACTTGGGGTAAAGAAGAAGCAGATAATAATGGCACCGATGACTCTAATTCTACATTTCTAATTGATTCACCTATTTGACGATCAATATCACTGGAGCCAATAGCTAAACGACTACTAGAGCTATCCTCATCACCACTTAATGGTGTAATTAAACCCGTTGATTCATCTAAATGCTGTTTTTGTAATTCTTGTATACTTTGAATAAGATCATGTAAGCTTTGATCATGTTCACAAAGTCGTTTATCATCATCATTATCAACATCGACACACAGATCACCACGACTACCATCACAAGATGTTTCCAAACGTAAAAATTCGGCTAACGATGATGAACGACTGCTATGTGTACGTAATGAACTAGATAAATCCATATAACAATCCTGACCTGGAGATTCCATAGAATGTGTTTCATATGAACGTCGAATACGGTCTGGTTCAGAATGAATAGATGATATACTATGTACAGAGAGAGCTGGATTTTTGAATGATTTTTGTGGACCACTGAATGATTCATGTGATGTACGATTTGAATGTAAGAACGGATGCAATAGACGACGTGATACATTAGTGGCAGTACTACCGCCAATAACACCACCAGGACGAATTTCAATCGATTCCGAAGGACTTAAATCACTACTTTGCCAACTTTTCGATGGGTTTATACTAGATACAGACGATCTTGTCGAATATTCAGATATTTCCGGTATAGGTGTCAATGGTTCTAATATTGAACGACCCTGTAGTAAATCACCTAACATATTATTATAATAAGTTTCATCTAATAATATTTCTGTCGAATCGACGGGTTCCATTTGTGGTATTACAATTACTCTATCAGGAAATTCATAAATGTCATCGTTTAGTTTAGCTGAATGATCATAATAATTCTGATTGGATTTTATGTCTTTTTTCACATTACTTTGAATAATATTATCATCTAATAAATATTAGTTAAAAGTTGTGAATACACACACAATAAAAGAATAAGTGATCCCATAATAAATAGATGAATAAATGAGAGATATAGACGTAGAGATACAGTGACGACAGAGTTAAAAAACATAATTTATGTGACAAAAAGGTGTTATCAGAGCAACAACAAAGGTGTATATTATATAGGACAGATGTAAAGACAAATAGGTTACGGGTAGCAAATGAATAGAGGCCCGCAGAGATACACATAAATGCATTGAACACACATACACATTACATGAAAAGATTATTTGTTAGTTCAAAATCAAAAAAAGATTAGGAATTATGAATGTAGTAGTTTAGTTATTGTTGTTATTGAATATTTCAATAGTATGAATGGACGAAAACGATTTGGGAGAGGTGAAGTGGGCAGCAAATTTGTGGATTGGTGGGGTGTTAGATGTAGTATTTGTTTCGAATAGTATTAAAAAAATCAAATCCAAACATAAAGGGTGATGAAAGAAAAGAGAAAGAAAAATAGTTTTAGACAAGAGCAACATAAAAACAGGAGAGTCAATGTGTCAAAAAAGTTAACTATTACCCCTAATAAAATAAAAAAATGATTAGAATATTGAATAATTGATGCGAGTTTAAACTGAAGATAGAATTTTGTTGGTATTTAATTAAAGTGACTTAAAAATTCTAGAGTATATCTTTAAAATAGCATTATCATCATATTAAGATATCAGCTGAATAAATTCATAGGATGTTCATAAAGGTAACAATTTGAGGAAAACGACACTTTTCAAATGAACATAGTATGGCCTATCAAGAATGTAAGGACGATAGAAGTCAAGTTCAGCTGTCTCTTTGTTGGAAAATCGAATGTATGGTCATTTATGATTCCAGTCGTAGATTTACTATTGGATGATTATTTTTATAAACTGGATTTAGGTAAGTTATCTATGTACGTACTTCACGAAGAGTGTGAGATAACGAAGTGCGTGACGATCCTACCAACTACCAGGAGTTCTTAAACAAGGAACTAGAAGATGGGACAAATAAGAAGTACTTTGGAAGGGATAAATATTGGTAGGCTAGAATTGTGCGGGAATAAATTTATTGTAATCTCAGAGTATCTACTGAACAAAGTAGTGCCCCATACAATTATATATATGACCACGGCGTATAAAAAATAATATAAGTCAATGTATATTGTTTCCTCACTTTTAAGATTCATTTGCTGAACTATGATGAAAATGACGCTTGACAAAATAGAACTAAGCTTTCATACTAGTCTATGAATTATATCTACTATGTAAGAACCAATGTTAAAAGCATGACTGTCAAAACCTTGACACGTGCAGTGGGGTTCAAAACTACAGCTCAAATATTTTAGAAACACATGGAACATTTAAATAGTTGTCGAGTATTACACAAAGTCAGTCATTTTTGATATCAATACTACAATTACATATATTGAAATGATCCAATAGATTTTACGTAAATATACATGTGCAGATAAGAAATATTTTCAAAAATGATTTCGTTTGATTGTATTCAATTATTTGGGTTAAAACAAAACAAATTCAAATGGATCTCTGTAAAGTTAGTGTTTTTGAAAAAGCTAACATACTGAATTATTCGCCATTGAAATGTCAATATTAATGAAGAACCAGGTTTAGGAATGGAAAAAGAACAAACAAACAATGTGAACAGATACATCCACTTTCATATACAATTAGAATCTCAATTTTTATGGTCGATGTGTTGCACTAGCAAGAATTCATTTTTCTTTGAAGCTGATATAAATGTACACGAGTTTTCAAAAAAAAACTGTCCACAATTTGCATTAAACTTTGAACAAGTCAAAGGGAAATAAATGATTATTCATTATTGTATTAATTAAAGTTTTATCTCGTCATACATTTCCTAATCAAATTTAGTGGAATATAGAAAAGTCTGTAGTTAGTTTATCTAATCATTACATCTACGCTATATATATAAGTAGAAAAAACCAATCAACAAAATACGATATCATCAACTGCTGCAGAATGAACCATTGAAAAGTAAAGATAGTTGTTTCATTTTGCAGTGTGAGACTTCTGAGCTATCAATTGACACATATATACGAGAAGTTACACGGTGTCGAACCCACAACTTCACGTCTCACAATAACCAAACGATACTTGTAGAACACAGTAAGTCGGCATACAACAATGATAGATTCTATCATAAACGATAAGCACTTCTGAAAAGTCTCAAACTAAAAAGAAACAGCCATTTATTTATTTGGCCTGGTTTTCAATGGTATTCCAGTTAGTTTGTCACAAATTTAAAAAGAAAACCTTAGTAGAAGGTTTTCTCGTGAGATGAATAATTACACAAACGCTTACAAGAGAATAGTTATACAAATAATTAATTTCAATTCACATAATTTAAATATGAAGATATAGTTCAATGTGTTTTCGAGTTCATATACTATGGATAAACGTCACTAGCACTGATTAAAATAAATTTTTTAAATGAAAAAAACCTAAAGAAACAAACAATCACACAAGCTCATGAAGGTTCATGGTGTTACTAATTAAACATACATTTTTTTCAATTAACAGTTAGTTATCGAAACATCAGAATTAAACAAACTCTATAGAATACACGACAAAAGAAAGAGAATGTCAATTCTATCAAGATACACAGGATATAACTTAATTTAGTCCATTTACTAAGTACAAGTGTTGATGTACTCAGCATTCAGTCGAAATCTAAGTATTACGGTTAATGATACTCTGCCCAGTTTTCCAAAGAGAAGTAGATTGAGTAAAATCCAAAACAACGACCCGTGATAGATCATAAGCCCAGTAAAATATGTGAAATGAAATGAACAAACTATAAATATCCATTTATGTCAGATATCATTTCAACAAGAAAAAGCCAATGATCTTCAATAAAAACCTTATTACCAAGACGTGTTATGTTCACAAAAGCGCATATATATATATGCTTATTAAAGTTTCACTTTCCATGCCACAGATCAGAATCAGTAAGTGTATCATCATCATCATCATCTCGTGCAGTTTAGGAAGCTGTCAACCAAACAACAGTAAAAGAAAGTAATTGAATTCTTAATTAGGCCTAGAAAGAATAAAGTCATTTAAATGAAAAAAACACAACGGAAAAACAAACAAACGCATAAGCTTAACGAGTGTACTCATACAGTCTACACGAGTTCTTCGCATAACTGTACTTCGATGTAATACACACACATACAGAAGGTAATTTCTATTTTATTTCACCTTTATCTGATTTTGTGTGTTTTGAAATGATTGTTTTTGTTAATTTCTCTTGTGACGATGATGATGATTGCTGCATTGCATCTTCAATCGAAAATGTATTTGCTGGTTTAGATTTACTTGCTGTAGTTTCGGTTTCGTCAGACAACTGACGTGTGTACGTTGACTGCTCAGACGGTACAATACCCTGTGCAATTGGCAACATTTCTTCATCTTTTTCACTAGTTTTTAATTTGCTAGTAGTACTACCAAATGGTATATCACTATCAGCACCTTTACCCCATGTAGCTTCAAGTTCACCACATCTTTGATAGTGATGCGCACAAATCTTCTCTTCATTTGATCCATCTAATACGGTTTTACAAACTTGTTTTTCATGTGTTTTATCTACATGAAATCTACTAGTATCACAAGATGGAACATCTTGATCTGCACCTTTACCCCATGTAGCTTCAAGTTCACCACATCTTTGATAGTGATGTGAACAAATTTCCTGTTCACATGATTCATAAGAATGATCATCTGGAGCTTGTTCATTATCTGCTTTATCAACGAATGATTTATTTACAATCGACTGTACATTGTCAGTCGATTTCTCACAGTAAGGATGAGATAATGAATCACTGAATAACTGTTTGTGCTGTTTAATGAAAATTTGCCTTTCTGTATCATGAGATAAATCTGATTCCACATAAATGGAGACTGAAAAAAAAGAAAAAGTCAGGAAATTAACAATAGACAGAAATATAAAGAGATCTGCTAAGTTAATCAGTTAAAAAGAATACAGACAGGCCTGTAAATCGACAAGATGAACTGAAGATTTTAATATGTGCCGAAAACAAAGCTGGATAATTAAAATACGTAGAAATGAAATGTTGACAATGAATTTATAATTAATTTCCAATACTTATTAAATCAATGATTGTAGAGTTTTGGAGAAAAAGCAACTCCAAATAGTATTTGATTCATTTGTAGTCTAAGGATTCAATTCCTTTCACCAAACTATTGATGATATGAAGTACATATTGGCTTGATGTACATCAGAATTCAGTTCACCATAATATATTAAAAATGACACTAATAGGAAGGTGGTAGATCATTAACAAGACTAAAAATAAATTTTAAGTATTAGATTTTATCTATAGATGTAAGATACGTAAATTAGCTGATGAGACTGTGAACCTGTTATGTCCCCTGGTGAATTATGAATAGTAACTCTAAGGTCTATTTATCAACCAATGTATTATGCCTATTTTCTATTGTACAATTGTTACGTAACTAAACTATTCATATTTGTGTTTCTCTTATCATGAGCTTTATTTTGATCTTTGATTTATTATCATACGATTCTTGAGTTATAATCAGTTATTGATTACTTTGGTTTGTATAAAAACCTAGTATGTTTGTAAATAATGATTTATATTGTCGAGGCTGTTATTTGTGTTCTGGACTCAACTGGCTGGGCTAGGCAGATAGCAGGGCCGATACGCAATCAAGACTGCTCGAACGATTTCAAGTATCATCAATTGCGTCCGATCAGTAAAATCCACTACCTTCTCTAATTGCACGTCCATATATATTAAGAGTCCTATACGTTATAACAGAACCACCGTCGGCTGAGATGTTTGAGACAATTAGAATCAATGATTGGAAAAGTTTAGAACATAAATATTTATCCCGATCGGAATATTCCTTATTTGTGCCAGTACACATGTCACATCTTTACTTTCATTTTTCGAAAAATCTCTCCGAATCTTCAGAACTCAGACTCTTCAACTATCATCTCATCACTTCAAGTCCTACTAGAACTGTGTACACAGACTTTCTTCAATCTGGTATATCAACAAATTTCTGGATGATGAATCTACGATCCCGAACAACATGGGACCACATGTTTTCGATGTTCTCATTGAGAACAATTGTCTTTGTTTTCTATCATTCTTGTAGTTTCGATAGCTAACACTAAAATGCCTGATTAATTTGAAGATGGTTGCTTTCCTTAAAGTATAATCATCCTGAACAGTTCTAGTTTATCTCAAGTTTCATGAAAATTTGATGTAACTCAATTAGCGCATGCACTGAACATAAAATGTATATTTGATGTGATTAGTCAAATAGGTATAAATATTAACACGGGGTGTTACATCCGAACGAAGAATAAATGAGTGGTAACTGCTAGGAATGATTTATGGACCATTATGACATATATTCCTATTGCGTAACTACTATTAAGTGACTAGTTTATATGTACACTCATATTTCTTTTATCATAAACGTTCATTTGACATACTGGCTACTTCAATACGATTTACTAATTTTAAGTTATTCTCAGCCAATAAGTTACGGTCTCTCACACTCATAGCCGCTTTTGAACTGATCTTTTATAATAACTATTATATATTTTATGGTGTGATGACGAAAGGTTTGCTTGTACATAAACTGCGTATGTCTAAAATATACGATTCATACAGTGGAGGCTAAGTTTGCTTTCTGGAATCAACGGGCAGGGCTAGGCAAGAAGGACAAATAAGGAATCAGATTTGACATAAGGTTGCTAGTTCTGTTTGTGATATGACGGGATGAAAAGTCAAAATTAAATTGATTTACTCATTATGATTTTTGTTCAACATTGATTCCGTTTTAATTCAACGTGATGATTACCCAGCGTAGTATTCGGTTTTGTTTTCCAGTATGATATTTTATTCTGTATAACATACGATATTCTTGTATTAAGTTAACATGAACTATATTCAGCATACGGTTTGTTATAATTGTAAGTATTTTTCACATATGTGATTTTATTCTAATTATTAATCAAAACGTATGCATGAATCAATATATAAATGAGTTTATTTTTCACTGAGGTTGTCGATTTATTAACCTCAAAAGGTTAATAAATCTTCACTTGTACCAATCCGGGTGTTCTCACTGTTGCATCGTGGGAATTACAGTGGTTCATCACTTTATAAGTGTAAGTGATAAGAGATTCGGACATAACAACTAGCGGCCGACCAGTCGTAACAGTTTGACGTGTTACTGGTTTAAGCACAAGAATAAAGTCATGTAAGTCGATATTATGATTGGCAATTTTGTCACGTGATACTTAACAAGGGCAAAAGACATAACACGGAGCTTTGTTTAAGTCTATATTTTTTTAGGAGTCCAGTTAATTTGATTTATTCAGCTCATCTAAGTACTTGAAATGAGTCTATATTGATGATTGAAAGTCACCATAGTGTGGAGAAGGAGGGTTACAAATCAAACCTTTGAGGTCTGAATCCGAGATATGTAATCTATTGAGATTTGGAAAACTAGTATAGAGCAAACTACCTATTAATTTCTGCTCTGATTTTCAATCGCTTTTCAACTCACTGATGATCTAATAAAATATTCAAATTAGATCCCTTCAACTTTATGAAAGAAAAGAAAACATTCTATCTGTGTAGGCTCATTGACCTATCAATTAGCATTATCGATAAAAAAAATAAAGCAAACAGTCTACAGAGCTTTGGTAAATAAAGAAACGCTCAAATTATAATTTTTGTCAATAAAAATTTAGATAGCGCTACTTAAATACTCCACGCACTCAATCACTCACATGTACGCATAGAAAACAAAGTGCTACTATTTGCATAATTATAATAAGTGAACACAAACACACAAAATATATTTTGTATAGCAAATAAAATATCACCAAATAAACGCATGCATTGAAAAAAAAGATTAATTAAGTTACCAAAATCTATAACAAAAAAAAATTGATTAAAACAATTAAACTTGCCTAGCAAAAGTGTTAGCAACACCACGAATGATCAACAGTCGAAATATATGTAGATATAGATATATATATTATATGTGAGTATATAAGTGCTTTGACCAATTGAACTGAATCGAATATTAATCCATAGCAAATAGACACCAGCGCCGGACGATATATTTATGAGTATAAAGGTGTATACATATATAAGTAGATACATGGATATATATGCACGTATAGGAGTATATGTGCAAAACTGGAAATATATAAATAGTTTAATAGTGTAATATTATTACAAACAAACATGTGAACAAACAAACTCGTACAGGAAAATATTCACAAATCAATTGACAACATGAAGTTGAAATCCAAAGGATTTTCTTACACTCAACTAACTAAACAAAAGTTCCGTTATAATACACATATGATTATGATGATGATAATGAGAACAGCAATGACGACAATGATGAAGAAAATAGTGAAAATGACGAATAAACACGAGGAAGTATAGCGTCAACACTAACCATATATATATATATATATATATATATATATATATATATATATATATATATATATATATATATAGTGTATAGAGCAAGGACTAGCACAAACAGATGTATACATGTATATAAGAAAATTATCGATTAATCCTTATTCATAAAACAACTTTGTTAGCCGAAAAATCTAATTCATCTAAAAATCTCTAACCGTAAATAAAAAATGAGCGAAAAATAAACAAACTAAGCAAAATAACTGTTTATAATTTTGAAATATGCGTATATATAGATACATGAATAAATCATGTATTGCATAATGGTTTTATTATTAATATTAGTAGTAGTAGAGGTAACTTAAATAAAATCTCAAATCAATAATAAAAAGAAATAATGTTGTCTTAATTCGTATCTCTTAACTGAATAGGAAGTAAAGACAAACAATGATATCCAGTATGTATATATATAGAAGACCGAAAAAAAACCCGCTTACCTAATTTATTGACAGTTTTGATTTATATTTATTAGAAAAATAAAGTCGAACAAAATGTATGATATGTGTGTAAAGAAAAAGAAGTGTATGCACATAGAATAAAGTTATATTTTGGCATTTACATAATAATTAAGAACAGTTCAATATGAAATGATGTTGTGAAAATATGTTCTCTTTAAATGTCAATTTCGAAAGAAAAACTAGATTTTTTTTTCTATTTATTCAGTAGTCACAAGTAAGAAATATACGTTTCTATTGAAATCGATTGTAGGATTCATATAATGATGTAAATGTTGTTATGTAACATTATTACAAATATGAAACATGTGTGCGTGTGTATGTGCGAAAATTTAAATTAGTTTACATGGTGGCATCGAAGACAGAGTGATATTAGTCTCTTAGATATGTTTAGAGATAATCATCAATAGGAAGCTGATTTAGACTTAGGTTGGCACTGGTTGTACAGTTAAGAATATCGGAAACTAAGTCATATAACTGATGTTCTTTACAAAATTTTCGCCTGTGTCACTCAGCGTTACAATCAGAGAGATGTTATCAATGATCTATATGAGCGATAATTGGACACAATCTCTATAGAATTAACATGTTTAAACTGATTGATCTCTTAGTAGTGACAAGTGTCATGTTTGTCTAGTCCATTAAGTGCTGATCGAAGAATTAACCTATTGAATGTAAGAGTAGAGGGGTAGCTTAGTGATAAAGATGTTCGATTTTAGGCTGCTCGCTGATTTGAATCTCGGTTTATCTTAGCTCTTGAGCCTAAAGAGTGGCTTTAAGACAATTACACGAGTTTGTGCCACGTAGTGAGCAAATAATTATAAATAATTAAGTGTAAAATGATCGTGTATAAATCAATAAAAAGGAATATGATAACATGTTTACAGATTGCTGACTTATTGGCTACAAGAGCGACAAAGAACTTGTACAAGTCCAAATACTGATCCATTTACTTCGATTTCAACAGCCATGAAATATCACTAGCTCACATACAAAGTGTTGTTCAAAGCCAAGTGTAAATATTTCCTTGGTAAATGAGTTACAATTATTTACAGAGAAATTTGTTTGGTGCTACATAAAGTTTTGAAATAGATTGTTAACTAGCTTTATCGGAGGTAATTGAAATAGTATCGTTATTTATAGACACATTAATATCTGATCAAAATATGAGCTACCAATTATTGTAATTCATTTATTCGACAAATGCACTCTCAATGTATACATAAAAGATTAAGAGGAAGTATGTCAAGGTTATTCAGATGTTTAAACTGAAATGGATAGATTAAAAGCGTAATTGAACAGTAAGTTATAAGTCGAAATTTGGAATGATTAAACTAAACTACCGAGTTTTAAATTAACAGTAAAACACTTAGACTTAATGAGACATTAATAAATAAAGAAAAGCAAAGGAATAAAACAGCAGAAATAACAGTTGATAAGACAATATTCAATTATAAAGACATAAAACACAATTACAACTACAGACCTCACATCATTATGAGTGATGAACATGATAATCCCTCAATGCCGGTGTACCTATATCTATTAAAAGAATTACTTACCATCTGGATAAATGTTTGATAAATCACTATCTTTCTCAATTTGTTTATGAATATTATTACTACTATTAATCATATCGTCTGTACGACTTAGTTGTCCAATGCGATTGCTTTGAATAGGAACAACCATTTCTTCATTGACTGGAGCTATTGTGAAAATAAAACAAATTTTTAGAAATATAAACTACAATCAGATGAGGAAGAAGCTAAAAGCATTTGACGTGTTAATAAGAAAAGTAAACAACGGAAATAGACGGAACAATTGCCTTCAGTGGTTTCTAATTTTCAATTGTTGTCTGAAACTAAAAACCGGTCAGTGATGTAGAATTGTATATGACTGAACAAATTTATGATAATAATAATTATTAGCAGTAGGATAGGAGATTATTTCATTAAGGAAATAGTTTAAATCGTTAACTGTTTTATTTATTCATTCACTTGAATACATAGACATTAGTACAAGGAGGTACGAAATATATATGAGCCACACTTCATCATACGATTTATGTGAGGGCTAGAATACTGCCAGGGTGTCAAAACCGAAGCAGGTAATCGCTGATTGAATTCAAACTAGCCAATCATTGAAACTCAAGAAGAGTAAACTCTCTTCTCTACGGTTTTCAATCATTTTTCATATAGAATTAAACTGATATTTTAATTATCTTCGAATGTACAGTTATTGTCATAATAAACTCTTACTATGCAACCTTTTTGGGCTGCAAACAATCCGACTGTAAGTAATTATATTGTGTAACTTCAGATGTAACTGAGTAACAGTATCGAAATGTTTTATCGTAGCTTGGGAGGAGAAGCGTTTAAATCATTGAACCGACAATCAATAATCTACATTTTTCACCTTCAATCTAAGACTAGAAAGAAAACTTTGTCCACTGTTGCCTGATTTTCAACTGTTCTTGAAATGGATAAAGTCCATGCATAATGATAACTGTATTCAGATGTTGTAGTCAGAAGTAATCGACGGGTAAAACTTGTTTTCGGGTTTCATGTTAGTTGGCAATTGTCAGAAAGCTGTATATGTAACGTTGAGGGAAATAAATTCTTTAGAACTGATATATTTAAAATCGATCGATCAATGAGTGTTGGTCAATCCAGTCCTTCAGTGTCGGTCTGATCTTATCGATCAAATTGCAGTGTCCATCAATCTAAATAACTTGACAACTCATCCACTATATTTTGTTGTTAAGTGATTGAAGATACTCGGTACCTTCATGATAGTTGACATTTGTCAGTAAAGAGTACGTCAAATCTTGGGAGTACTACTGATCAATGTAGAACTTGGGAAAAATGTTTACCGTTTCGACTTTACAAATCACATTATACGCATACCCTACAATAAGTCCGAAGTTCCTGTCGACTATCTCCAATTGCTTAATATCAAATCTAAAGTGTAGTAACTGAAGGACATTAAAATTAGTCGCTTACCGATTAATGAAGAATCAATGCATTCATGTAAAAAGCAAATATTGTTGAATAAGTGAGAAATTGACGTAGTGGCTGTTGTAAATAATTTAGTCGAACTGGAAACAATAACTCGTAGTACACAATACTATGAATTATCATTATTATTTTGAAGTTTATTTACCTAGATTTGACCTACTTCGTCTGTCGAACTATTGATTATAACTTCTCTTATTTTATTATTCTTATCACTACTGGTGTTGTGTACGAAGCAGTTTAGTGGGTAAAAACCTAGGTGTTGTTTAACACGAAATCACACAGTAGCTTGGTAAAATATGAAAATCATACATTAAATACGTTATTTACACATCTTTGCGCTGTTCTTTGCACAGTCAATTACTCTTTTAATTATGTTGTTATTTCGATTGCACTCAGATTTCTTTCTTGTTCTCTTCATTATAATCCTCTGCTGCCATGGATTCTATTTACGACTGGTCCTACATACTACTTATATATGTAAACATAAGTAGGACACACCGCACTAGTAAACCTCTCTTTTTAATATCAAAGTTTTACTTTTTACCTACTGTGTGTAGTTATACAATCTATTTCATTATGATCAACAACTCATAAATCGCCTTGATTGATTTAAGAATTTCATATAAATATTCATGAGTATCAGTTAAAGCCTGATTACGAATAAACTGAAAACAATATTGTCTAATTAACTGAAATTATAAATTTGAACGCTTAACTTTCGACTATTTGACCACAAGAAGGTGTATTTTGTTCAATTTGAAATACGAAAGTTCTATGTTTGATTCTATGAACATTCAGTGGAAAATAAGTTATTTATGGCCCGAAAATTAAATACAAAAGATCACTGATTGCTTCCAAGTTGACGTAGTTCCACAAATGATATTACCCAGTTATGGCAAGGATTAGCTTCAGTAAAATAATTGTATTACAAGTTACAAGCAAAAAACAGAAACGATGCACTCAACTCTATCACTAATAAATACAGATACCCTGTAACGAATAACAACAACTTACGTCCAGTAGAAGTGGAATTTATTTTATCATCTTCTTCTATAGTCAATGAAGGTTGACTATCAACCAGAATATTTTCAACCCCTTTTAATACATCATATTTGTCTCCGGGAACAACATCAGTAATAGATTTTCCCACATATGGTGATGACCCTGAATATTTTCGACCAGTGGTCACAGTAACTGGTTGTATTATTTCTTGCTCCACTTCTTTCTCAGATTGTTTAGAATTATCTACATTGCTTAAATGGGGTAGTGTATGAATTGTTGACGACATTGTTTTTGTAATCACTGGTGTTGTTGGTATTAGTGTAGTAGATCCGGTCTGTGTGCCATAACCTGTATCAACTGATTCACTTAAACCACCACCGCCATTTTTTGAATGGGATCGACTTTCACGATTAACATTTAAATTGGGCGAAACGGCTATTCAAAATAAAAGCAAAAACAGCAGCAATAAGAAAATTGCAATAGCTAAAACTATGTATAGACGTTACTAACTGGTACTATATTTCCTTTCACCAATAATACTTCGAATTTCTGGAGAGTACATATCGACGCGTCTTCGAACCGAACACAATATGACTCATTTCATGGTCACCCATAGTGTATCTAATCCTTAAGAACTAGTAATGCTAGTATACAAGTTGATCCACTTCAGATTTATATGAGGAAATTAATTAGTATCATTTCACTTTTTATTCAATATCATTTTGATTCGATTTTCGAAGTTTCTTCATTTTAAGAAGTTGATACACATTTTGCAGTAAATAGGAACTATTGTACAGCACAATCTATCCAAATTATATCAATTATCCGTCTGACATGAGCTGCTATTTTCATATAAAATCAAGAAACTTATTGATAGAGTCAAATTAATAAGAATGTAACAATCGCAACAGAGCACTTTGCAAATGTTAGTACAAATTTCTGACAAACCTTTTAAAATATAGTTGGACTTAACTGTTAATACTTATTAAAAGTGATACCACCCGAAAAAAAGCGATTTTTAGTCTGACACATGTAAATTAAGGAATATTCATGTCACGGTTAGTTCTAAATGAAACATTTTTGTCTATTCATATGGGTACTTGTTGGTACTAAATATATGATTTGCAGTATCAATGAACTATTTACCTTGTTTGTTTTTATTAAGGAATGGAATTCCACAATAAGCAGTTGCTCTTATAGCTTATAAACAGATTAGCAACCCAAATGGATGATTTTTTTTAGCAGAATTTAGTTCGCTGACTAAAGTATTCAGTAAACAAGACGAAACTCCACCGAATAAAATCGCTCCTTAATTTATTTTGTTTGTCAAACATACTCTAGGTAGATAATCTTTGCGATAAGAATAGATGAAGACGAAGAGTCTGTATAGCAATCATCTTTCAATAACTCCAGGTCAATTATCTCTTATAAGAAGAAAGCCTTCTGAGATAATCTGATTTAGAAAATCGACCTCTTGATTGAAATCACAGAATTTCACTTGAATGCTTCGACAATTCATTTTCAGTTTTGAAAATAACTGTTTAAATAAATTAATATTTTGAATGATAAAAATATACCAGGAGACTAAAAATATTTCTTGCCTCAACTAAAATATGTCAAAGAAAATAACCACAAAATGTAACAAATTACCATTCAATGAACGTAAAGCAGTAACCCGTTCATCAGCTGTTATTACAGGCGAAATGTTAGTCATACAATATTCCAGTATATCTTTACGACCGATAGCTTGTAATGCTTCAGCAAGTTGTGTACCTAGGTAGAGAGATAAAATGGTAGAAATTTATTTACAATGATAAGTAGATACGTCTATGGTGAGTGGGAGAAGGGAGGACGTGAAATCAAAACATTTACATAATCTTTACACTGGAACCCGAACGCCCTGATACGACCGAGAATGGAGAGAGTCAGAACCCCATCTCCAAATGCTCTCACAAGGCCACGTGGATACAACTACTATCAGGGAGATCCTACTCAATGCCTTCTCGAGGTGAGAGTGTTGTTTACGAAACTGAGAAGCGAATGTCCGGCGCTTGGTAGATATGGAGAATCCACCTAGGGGAGTTGGAAAACTGATTCCGAACCAATGGTGCACATGGACATCAGGATTCTGAGGGAACAAATGGAGTATGAACCAATTATTGGTCACCGGCTACTATGGGACTGCATCTCCTCACGATGCTCCACTACCTTGTAAATTAGACCTTCAGATCGAGGGCTTCGGGTGTGGCCCCCTAAGAAAACCACCTGTTTTGGTCTGTGCACCCGGGCAACATCACAGCTCTCACACAAACCAAGTGGCTTGTGTGGGGCATATGTATTCTGTGCCTCCCTGTACCAATATTTGTGTTTTAATAATAAGAATTACTTATAATTTTAACAGAAAACATGAAATTCAACTAAAGCTAGACATGCACTTGTGAGACTTATCAACAATACTCCTCGATAATGACCACTCACATTCTCGTATGGAATCAAACGTAGACTCTCAAGATCTTACGATCAGTGAAATGCTTTCATACTATTACTGACTTGAAATCCAGTGGGACATTATTTTTAACTAAGTCAATCTAAAATGTAACGTGATGGTCTTAATATATCTTCCGTAATAGCTTACTCATGATCGGTCTGGTTAAACACACAGGCCATAACACACATTTCAAAAAACCTGTGTGAAATTTGTCTCGAAACTACTCACGATAAGTACTCATTTGGGTGATAATAACAGAAAATTTAAATTAATATATCGAATAACACGTCCCTATTACGGTAACAATTTATTCTTACTTTACATATATTTACAAAATAAGTTAAATATTATTTGAAATAAATTACTAAATAGCTGCTACATCATATAACCGTTTTGTTGTGAAATTAAGAACAATTATATTTCCAAATTGTGACCAGTAATGGAATCCAGGACGTCCATCTCGTCCTATTCTGCACTCCTTACAATTGAATGTACGTTAATCCAATTATTGATTATAGTTAAGTATTTTGTCGATAAGTTGTGCTATATTCCAATCACCTATGGGAGCTAGTGGCTCAAACTGAATTATGTGGAGAGTGGGATCCAAATTCGTAGGTGAAAGTCGAGGAATTTAGTCATTAAAATACAGTTCTACCGTATACTAACGTATATCATATAAAAAAATACATATTTCGTTTAATTGCTAACATTCACATAGTATCACTTACCTGAAGTTAACTCATTCCCATTACGTTCTTGCCACAACAATAAACTAGTATATGCATATTCTTCTTCAGGACGATTAGGCAAAGAAGTAATATTATACTGATCCTCATCAGACAAGCCTAAACATTGAGCTAATATTCTCCAATCCGATTTTAAATGATAAGCAACTTGTCGTAAATCAAGCTCAGATTTCGCTAATGGCTCATCGTAATGTTCGACTAATTTAAAGCAAGAGATGAGTGAAAGCTGATTTAATGTAAAGCAAATACAAATTTATGTACGTAGCTTAAAATTATAATCTTGTAATATGTAGTACTTGATTGATATCCATCGACTGTTCATCTTTAAATGAGTAGGGCAAATAATCTGAGCATTCAGAAACCAAGTGGTTCTACCACTAGACCGCCGCGCCATAAATCATAAGAAATTTACTATAACCTACACACTTACATTATTACGAAGAATACCTATAAGCTTACATAATTTGTGTAGTATAATATGAGAATGGTCTATCCTGTAATAGGTAATTAATTTTATACCATTCACTTACTGAAATTATTCTAATTCTAATTCTTTCAAATTTTAAATTAAGATAAATAAAGATCTTAGTGAGTGATCCGAAACTATTCGTTAACATACTGTTTCTTTCTTATTACTAGTGAATATGTGTAAGGTTAAAGATAGATGATACAAAAGCCTACATATGGATATTTTTGATTAAATTTATGAAGTACATTAACCAGCTGATTGACGCATTTGGAAAGTATGATAGCATTCCCATTCAAATCTATACATTGATAAGCCAAATATAGTGGTTGTTTCTCAATAACAAGGTTATTTCTCACATTAATTCTTGTATAAAACAAAGTTTTTATTTTATTTCTTAAGAAAAATTGATTAAAATCAGAGATGGATGGTATCTAACAATGGAATCCAGGACACGTGTTTCGTCTTAATTGGGACTCGTCTTTAGCTAGATATACCTACATCTCAGAGTTGATGTCCACTCCGGGACTCGAGTCTAGTATCGTTAGATTTAAATGCCACCGCGTTATTCACTTAGCTACTGAGTCCGAATAGCCACTAGCTTATGAAATGGGGTGAAGTTTTAATTCATTTTTTTGCATTGGCTGTTTGAGTCTTCTCATTGATGTTTAGAATTGCGATTCATCAGTCTCATATTGATATATTTGCATTCTTTGCAGATTGCCTCGATATTGCTTGAATAAAAAAATCCACTAAGTTTGGGAATATGGAGAAAAATAATTCAAGCAAAACAGTATGAATTATATTCCAAGAACTTTTAAGTTATGTACATAACAAATTGTTAATTCATTGTTATGTCCATTTTTAATGTAAATCTCAGTGAATAGTAACCAATAACAAATATAATGGTCAATTGTGAATACCCTGTAGTCTTGAGTGTGACTGTCAGATGTTTATTTACCATGTTTACAATGCTATTTTGTCCAGTAGTATTAATTTCAATTTTATAGACAGTTAAATCACTGTTTTAACAGCTAGAAATAACAATAACTAGTTATAAAAATAATAGATCTTAATTTGAATTGTTTAGGATTCTTTATAATTTATGATATACATTTGACCAACCATCATTATGGAAGTCAGTGTAAATCCCCCTAATTTATTGATAATTAAATCGAACACTGTTACAGAAAAGAGAATGAGTTAGTAAATTAGTTATCATCCATTAGCATAATTATAGATCGCCCCGATCTGTCGTGTCAAATCAGTAGAGTGAATTAAATTAACCAGATGTATAGAAAATAAGTCAAAATAATAGTAGTAATGACACAATCAATAACGTGTTACTCAACACTAATATGTCATTTCTAGGATAATCTAGAATACAATAGTAAGATAATACGATCACAAAAAGAAAAAAACACACTTTCAATTGGTACTCACCTGGTTTTGACCATGTTTGCGGTAACGATTCATTGTATGTGGTGTATTGATCACCATTTTGATTGTATTCTGGAATATAAGATGGCATATCATCAATATCAGTTGTTTTTAATACACCACCAGTCCTGTAATCAGTAAGTTCATCTGGTAATTTAGCTTCCAGAACTGTTGCCGGTTTTACTGGTGACCTATGTATGAATAAAAATATTTTTTTAAATACTGATGTGAAAATAATAAGTTTACAGAAGAGAATAATAAAACCTTTTTATGAATAAGTATAGAAGTGTGAACAAACTATGAACAAATGAACGATGAAACTAATCGACCATCGAAACAGTGGCAGATTATCATTTATGAATTTATCAGGTACAGACTCATGTACTCGGCTTGAAGTCCAACTATAAGTGTAAGAGTTAGTAATATTATCCAGTTGTCTAAATCAAAATGGGAGGAGAGAGACTCGGACTCGTTAACTAGTGGCTACGAATCGAACCCCTAGATTATTGAGACATCACTTTACAAGTTTATGTGTAATACATTAGGTTGTCACAGAAATTACCATTCTAGTGCTCAGACTAAATTTATTACTCGTTATAACAAAACGTCGTACGGAACTTATAATTAATGAAGCTTACTATTACATTCAATTCAAATTATACTTAAAAGTATGAAAACCGTAACCTAAAACATCTTAATTAGTAGATGACAAAAACAAAATTTGTCAGAAATATACAAGAATGAAGTTGAGAAATTACAGTTCAAAGCAACTTCCTTTGGTAAACAATGACATTGATCAAGTATTCACATAATCAAATGCTTAGAAGTTCACAAAATAGAACCATCAAATCACATACGCACATACATACAAAGAAAATACATAATTCCCATCGAAACTAGACATAATTAGTTAGTTAGGGTAAACACATAAACTAGAAAAAAACCCATCATAAATGATATTAATGTTGAAAGGGATGACGACGAAAAAGTGATCCTTATGTTCAGTCACAGTTACTCATAGATAACGTAAAGAATGAAACAGATATGCGGTGGTCCAAATCTCCATATCACGATAGCACGAGATAGGATTAACAAGATCAAATAGCAACAGAGGTCAAAATAATAGTAGCAGAAATTATAATGACAAATAATAGACATTGAGAATGTGGAAAATCCTTTTTTTATAAAGAAAAAATAGACAAGATGATTCGCTGAAAATTCTCAAGTGAATAATTTTATATTCTGTAATGTAAATAGTCTACGAATAAAAGGAACTGGATCGAACGGAGGTTGAATCGAAAACTTATGCACTGATGAGGTGTTGGCAATCCACCAATTTAAGCGTGCAAACCTATCGTACTTCCTTGGCTCTAATTCCGTTCTGCAGTATATCTTGGTCTTGTTTATTTTTAATCTAATTAATGTCTTGTAATTTCAAAGTGTAATCGGTTATTGTCGTCCTTCAACAATTGCTTGTAATTATGAGCAAAGGTTAATAGTGGCTATTAGCGGAATACAAAACTAACGTTAACTCGTCAGTAACTGAATGGGTTATCTATTTATTTAAACACATAAATATTGGTACAAAGGGGCACCGAATACATATGCACCACACAAGCCACTTGATTTGTGTGAGGGCTGTGATATTGCCAGATTTCAATCACCACGACTCATCGTGTGTTATTTGTAGCTTCAAAAACAGACAAAAATGAAACAGTTTTTACAAGAGTCATTGAAAAACAAGTTGTGATTAGTTCATGTTCGAGCATAGCCATCATCTTTTTTTGATATATCATATTACTGGAAAATATACAAGAATGTTTGAAAACAATACAGAAAGTTCTAAATTAGACTATTTATAGATGATCTAGATTCCATTTAGGTCTTGCTTACAGTATTTATCACTAACAAATTAATCAATCACGGAGCACACGCTAAATGTGTTTTACTTATGTCAATGAATTGAAGAGGATAAACTAGAAACTATAAAGATGGCTAATTTGCAGAGCAATAAAATCACAAGTCCAAAACATGGTAATTTCCAGTGAGAAATACTAATTTGTGCATTAAGCGAAAGTAAACAACAGTTCATTTACCCAGCAGATTGTAGTACAGCTCGAGGATGACGCATAAACGCTAATTTTCCAACAGCTGGTTGTGATAAATCTTTCACACGTACAATCATGTTTAAACGATTCTCACGAAACGCATGCATTCCCAACTGTAATTGTTCTTCAGTTTTAGCAACAGGTACTAAGTTACCAGCTGTTTCAATCCAATGTGGATGGTCATCAAGAACCTATTATAAAGAATAATGTCAAACAGTTAATCAATTAATAAGAAGTCAAAACATTCAAATACATAACACAGGTTTATATAGATATCAAGTTTCACTAAATCATTTACCTCAATACATGGTCCATTGGCTATTAGTTGAAATCCTTCTTGTAATTCAAGTGTTTTCTCTGCTGAATCATCAGTAAGGCAAAGACAACGTAGCTGAGCTTCTTCAGGGTGAAATCTACGAGCATACACTACAAATTGCCCGATATAAGGCACTGCTAATGATTCATGATAAACACGACTGGCTAATTCAACAACTTCAGTAATATTAGGACAATCTACAAGCCATAATCTATAATTTTGTTTGAAAAAAACAGATAGTAGATGAGATCACATATGGCTTCCAGTAACAAAAGATGAATAAATATTAAAAATCTACCTGTGAAAAAACACGCTAAAAGTCATAGTTATGAATAATAAAGTAGGTGTGTAAACATTTAATTAATGTATTTTAAAAATCAGTTAGAAATGTAGTGATGGCCAATCAATCGTTCCCAGAAAAAAAGTTATCAAGATACGTGAATTGGTAAAAGAAACGTATGTCAATTGACAGAATCTGACAACACTAGCATGGGTACTCAAATGACATCAAAAAGATAAATTTCAAAATGGTTATATTGCTAATTCCAAGGTGATTGTCCGTACTAACGGGGTGTATGCTACTTATGTCGACAAACATAAGTAGTGTGTAACACCAATCAGAAGTGGAATGCCTGGCAGCAGAAGGGTGAGAAGATCAAATTGAAGGTAACAGGAATGTAAACAGAGAGTAATTGCAGTAGTCATAAAGCAACGATGGAGTTTGAGACAATTGATGGGAGATTTGCAAATGAAGTATTTAATGTATGGTTTATCATATTTTATGGAAGAACTCTGTAATTTTGTATTAAATAATAAATGGGTTGTCCCTACTAAGTCTTCGTTCACTACACTACTACTATTGATAATAATAAAACTTACCTCCATAGTTTAAGTAATATGTGCGCAATGTGAGTGTTAGTTGTAATAATCTTGGTGGTAGGGTTGAAGCTACCGAATGTGATTAGAAACGCAAGTGCTTAAAGTATCAAGTCACCACTTTTCAAAATGGAATGTGGCAGGCGAACCTAGACAATTAGTTTACAACTCTTACTGGACAGTACAAAATCATGATAATATGCACTGTTATATTGGCTTCTGCATATTTGTAAAACCTATGTGATACGGCTATGTTATAAAATAGGCAATATAATTATTGAGATGAACTTATATACATATTCATCAATTTAATAAATTAGGTCAGTTACCTTGCAGATACCGTAGATGTAAATGAAACAGAAAGATCGTGTACAGTTAACGGAGAACTACCAGTGATATCCTCCCAAACAGCTGGTGATGTCCCACCCGCAATCGAACACAGTAATCGAAGACTGGGTGAATCAATAGTTGAACGAGATTTAGTGTCAGCAACACCGCTAAAGAATGATATAGCTGTTTTTGGTAATGGTATAGTCAAGGTGATTGGTTTATGAAATTTACGTCGGCGTGGTTCGATTGTTACAATCGGTGATACAGAGACACGTGGACCAAGCATTCTAGTTACAAGTTCATGATCAACTGGATGTACTTGTAAACCAACACGTATACGTTTTTGTAAAGCACCTTGAGGAAAGCGAACATGTACGTCTGGTACAACTGTAGATGTTAATGTACCACCTTCTGGACCAATTAAAATTAATTCTTGCTTAATACGCGTAATAAGTGCAAAATATTGTGGTAGATCATATGTTAAAATACGATGTATTGACTTAGCACGTAGTTCTTCAAGTGATCCAGCATAATCTAAAATCAAATTTAATCATACCATAAATAAAACGTGGAAAAAAGTTCGAATTAATTTTAACCAAGTAAAATTTGAGGCAGAAGTATATTATTATGGTCATGATGTCATTTGAAAAAAAGAAAAGACCGTGATATAAAGTAACGTCGGTTAAATTACAATGAAACAATAACATTAGACGAAACAAACGAATGAATGTATTGAATAACACGTATTACAATACTTGAAAGAAAGCACAACTGAATTGAGCTAACGCTTTTGAAGTATAATAACGAAACTTTTGCTACAACATTAACTCTAGTTGATATGTAGCAAAAGAGTTTGAAACAGTTAAGAATATCACGTACATAGTGTAACCGTTGAATTAGAAAGGATATTTAATAAAAACAAAGCTATTAAACGCAGAACTATTATAGCTATATTTCATTGTGTAATTGTAAAATAATCCCTTGACGGTATTTTCTTAACTATAAGCTGACATATAATCTATTAACAATTGATATAATTTTACCGTTTCTGAATAATCATTCATCAATTAATCACTGTTATTTTGTGTTTTACTTATGACTTGGCCGAGTACAAGTTTTGATTTCTTAACTGAGATGACTTAATTAATGCACATAATCATATAGGCTTTAAGTCGTGGATAGTAATACAATAATAAAAAAGCTTGTTGTACTTGATTTCTGATTGATTATTGGGGAGAAAGAGAAAGTGGTGTTTGAGCCAGTAGTATTAGACATTCATATTTTAGGTCATGAAGGTGTTGACGAACTCGTAGTTTATGACCTTTATGAATTTGTGACCCAACTAAGAGGATATATAAAAAAGATTGAAGGTCATAAGACTGAGGTCATGTTCTGATTCAGTTAATCCTTAAACGTAGTTGATAAAACAGACATAACAAAATTAACAAGTATAAAACGTGCTGAAAGTCACTTCAGAAAATTTAAATTTGATGATTTCAGAGTTGATTTGCTGTAACAATTGCATTTAATGAATTTTTTATAATAAAAAAACAGCCTAACGAAAGACATTACCAAAATGTCCATCCAAAGTGTCTTGAACAGCTTGATCTGTAGCATCCAATAGATGCTCTTTCCATGTTTCACCATTATCTGAACGGAGGATAACAATCTCACGATTTTTCCCATTTAAAAAAGCATAATGTGGTATTTCTAAGAGAATAGGTGAAGCGAATCGTATACCAGGGGGTCCAATTTCTAGTAACCTGCACGAAATAGATGAATAAATGAGGTTACAAGAAGTTAAATTTAAAAATAAATTCAGTAGAGATGTCTGAAACAATCAGATTATTGGTGTAATGCTAAAATGCGTAGTGCAACACCTGGGTATTTATGAATGATTTCCTAAAATCGCAGTCCTATACGTCAATGGGAAGATTCAAGTAAATAATACCAAGCAAATTCAAAGACTAGAACAGTTTTACGAAGACTATTTACTTTGAATGTAGGTTGGTTTCCAACTGTAATGATCTGTGATTTATATGATGAGGCTATTTAGTTGCAGGGATAAAACCATTCGCTTGTCTATTTATTACATTTCGCAGTTAAATTCACGAGTCGATTTAAACTAGACTATCACTGAAAACCTGAAAGCACTGGATGGTCGTTTCGTCCTAGTATGGGACTACTCAACAGTGCACACCCACGACTCCGCAAGCGGGAATCGAATAATTTACCAAATTAAAATGATTTTCACACTACGCTAGACACATAACTAAAGTCTGAAATATATGAAACTGACCGGAACTGTTTAACTGGGCTGTAAAAAGACATTTTAAATAAGTTAAAACTGAGTCACAAAGCATAACTGTGTTATTGGAGAAGTTAATCAATTATGAACAAAGTACAAACTGGTACGAATATGTATTAGTGTTCACATTGTCACATACATCAATATCAGAATAACGAGGGAGGAAATTAAGAACATAAAAAAAGAGGAAGAATTACAAACAAAAAAATAAAGTGGAGATCTAAATATCAGAAATATAATTCAAATACAAAAGATCAAAAAGAAGATTAATTCTTTTTTAAAGGTTAATGTCATTGACGTATCGACTTATTTAGACAAAGAATGGCAACATACACAAAGTAACTATGATGTTAAGGATTTAGACAGCTCAAGCAAACAACAACATTTCCTACGTTAGCTATCTTCAAATAAATGTAATGAATATTATTTGAAGAAGGATTAGTATTTCAGTAGATTAAACTTTTTGAAAAAATATATAAGAAACCTGAAAAACTGGAATTTTTTACAATGAAGTGAAACTTGTCAACTAATAACAATAAACTGTTTGAACCAAAAAACTTTAATTGTGAAAATAATCATTCTTATATTCAAGTAATTGATAAGTAACTTGATTATGTGAACACTGATTTAATTTTATTTAAAGAATAAAACTCACCGGCAAGCTAAACCATCACCATCATTCATAATAGGAGGTGAATTCATACGATCAGGATGAACTAGACGACAAACAATACGAAGTGGACCATTGATAACATTTGGAGGAATAAATATCCTAAGATCAGGATAACGTCTTGCTTGAATTAGACCACCACGAGCATCCGCAATGAATGAAACTAAAAATCTATTTGTCGTTTTTAATGACAAGTAAGTAAAAAATTTTAATGATCATCGTGAACACAGCAAAAATATCAAAGATGTCTAATTTATGAGTTAGAATGCATGCTTGACATAAATCTCAAGTAAATTTTAATAAATATTGTAGTTTAACAGACAGACAAATACAGTTTAATTCATTTATTGGACAGGTTTTATCATTGATAATGATTTAAAATCCACTTGTAATTGAATCAGCAAACTTCTCGAATTATACACATCCGAGTATAAAATTGTCAGCTGAATTATACACCGTACAGCTTTATTTCTCTCTAGTAAAATCTGCAAAGAATGTATTTAAAATTTGTAAACATGATACTATAACAGCTTAAAATTTACTTTGATGGATTCAATTGACTTCTGACTGGCCGGTTACAAAGTCGATTAAAGTATAGTTAAATGGTTTAATATGATTATTGTGAATTCTTTCAGGATAAACTACAATGCCAAAATTTTTTTGGCAAAAATTCCTTCAGCCTACTAGCGAAGCAAATGCTGTTGATCTTAGTGTATATGGTTTACTAAAACTCAGCAAGAATTCATCAGAAAATTCTTCAGAAGCTTGGAAAAGATACGTAGTAAAACTAGCGATCGGTAGAAACTTTCTGCAGATATCTAAAACCAACGGATTATGTATATAATCCTGATTGGATAATTGCTGATTTAGTTATGGATTTTGGCATTTTACAGAATACTAAGGTCAAATATTAACCCCGTAAATATCTTTGAGTTCTGCATTTAAACTAACCTTAGAAATAAATCTACTTTAACTCTCGCCTTATGTCCTGTATTCGAAACTAAAGTGCAGATTTGTAAAGGAACTAGGTAGCGCTTAAAAAGTCAGTATCGAGTGTTGAAGAACAAGATATATCTATAATATTTGACTGACTCGACAGTTACACAACATATAAACGATAAAAGTAAAAAATATTAAAAAAAACTTTATACATCAACATTACATCTAAATAAACATTTTAATATTTACCCTGTACTAATTGGTTTCTTAATAACTGCCATATTGTCTGCTTCCAAATCCCAATCACCATCAGGTTGACCACATTCTCCGAACATTTGAACTTCAGTCTAGAAACGAATTTTATTTTGTTTCAAGAAGGAAAAAGATACGAAAATTACGAAGCTTCTATTCATTTATTCTGTTTTACAGTTTTATTTAACAAATATAACTAAATATGGTGAAGAATTAATTAAATATCAAGATATTCTCAACAGTTAGTATGAGCAATGAATGAATCTGGTACGTATAGACATAGGTTCAAATTGCCATAACTCATTAGGTGAAACTGTTAAGGGAAATCACAGTGGTGATAGAGAAGATTAGGCATGGAAGATATCATTTAAGGAAATATAAATTAGTGAAGTAAAAAAGATTATAAAGAATTCAGAAAATGAGAACCCGGGGAAGGGGATGAAGAGAATGCATGCACCTCTACCATCGCAAACGATTTTGAGCGACTTCATGTCTCTAACCACTAGCTAAGATAAGCACACGGACCTCCAACAGTAAGCCTATAAAATATTTAGGAATTAGTGATCTTATTATTTAGTTTTTTGTATGTGTATTATACAGAAACGTTTGGGCATTTAATTAACAGCTGTTCAATTCTTACGAATACTTACAAAGATCAGTTGATTTGCAAAAACAGGCAACATATTTTAACTTCCAATTTAGTTCGATCTTTCTGGTATATCCATCTACTGAACAATTGATATAATTAGAGTACACGAAATCACATGACACTATTCACTATACTACATTATATAATAAGTATTATGCAGAAAAGTAGTAGAAACAGTAATAATCCTAACGTCTTATGGAATAAGCTAGTAAAATATCCTTCAAATGTGTTGAATATTAGGATCCTCTTAATAAATAGTGATAGGTAACGATTACTAACTTATCACTTTAGCTACTAATGCTAGATATTTATTTATAAGAACAACATCAACACATACAATTCTTTAAACAGACTAGTAAGTTTTAGAGAATAAAAAACTTTGTTAAAGAAAAATCATATTGAATACATTTGGTAACAAATTTGGAAATACAAGGAATGAGAGAGAAATACAATGAAGAACAACAAATTTACTTCATTAATAAGACATGAACGTTTGGTGAAATTAGTTTGATTTTTAAAAAAATAAGAAAAGGTGAGGGGGTTGTGAAGTAAATCTTAATAATGACGATGAAAATAAATACAGTTTGAAAATTTAATTAAAATCCTCTCCGTGAAAATTAATACCATCAAAAAATAAAGGTGGATTTTGTAGAATACAGGAATAGTCGTTTACAAAAACTGATTCTTATTGAACAAATTGTTAATAAAAAAAATAGAGATAACTATTGAACTCGCTAGAAAACTACACAATAAAAGATAGCAATAAGGAAATTCTAAAAAGTCTGACGACATAATAACAATACAATTCTGTTTGGTGTCTAAACTAGAGACTTTTTAATTAATAATGAGGTTAACGTCCATAGACGTTCTGTGAACAAACTTATTATTTAAACACATAAATATTATTATAAGAGGGCACCCAAAGTATGTATGTGCCATACTTCAACATTAGATTTGTGTGAGGGTTGGAATACTCTCTGGATGTCCAAACCTGGAATCGTGAATCAGTTTACGATGTAATCCTTTCTATCGTTCTATAGATATATATATTCACCATACAAATATAAATGTGAATATACTGCTTAAGTCAATGGTTTCGTCGAAAAGGAAATTTTTTTCTCTAAATTCTACAACTACGGATGATAATAACACCAAACTAAGTTAAAGAAAATAATATTTTAAAGAATGTTAGTGATTACTTAGCACACGTAACAATATAGAAGGTAGTCTTTTCCATATCTGAATACTGAATGCCTATGTAAAGTACTAACTTCTTAACCAACTAGTAGACGATCATCATTCTACTATCTAAAATCTTCAAATCAATCAGAAAAGATTGTGAAATCTATTTTTTCTACAGCTCTAATGAATAGTTATTGACAATTTTTGTAAACTATAGTATGCAAGACAATTAGTTAGAGTTATGAAACACTGAAAAATTTCTTAGTCTTACATGGTAATCAAATACATAGCAGTGCAGGTTCTCTTGACTGTTATATATGCATAAATATTTTGTCCTGAATGGAGTGCGATAGAAGCGTCTGTTTTAATTCAAATCATGAACCCATCAATGTTAGACCACCATTAAAAACCTGGAAGCACTGGACGCCCGTATCGTCCTAGAATGAGATTACTTAGAAGCCCACATCAACGGCCCTGCACGCGAGATTCGGACCCAGGACACTTGATCTCGTGCGCGAACACTTAACCTTTAACCACTAACTCGGTATCCAACAGTGTTAACGGTTGTCCAGTGCTTCCAGGTTTGAAATGGTAGCTGAACATTGATCGATTGATGATCGCAATTAAAACTCAACAATCTTCACGACCTCATAACTGAGAAGTGTTAGTATGAAATACTAATCAGAGTACATTGGAATGACAATAACCAACTTTATTTTAAGCATATAACAAAAAATTGGTGAGTTTTCATGATATTAATCATAAAACGGAAAATAACTAGTTCAATATATTATCTATCTATCATCAATAGTCCAATTAATCATGAAATTATCCATATGATGGAAGATTATTACTATTATTCTCTTAATAATGAAATACTATCATCATCAATCAGTATAGTATAGTATGGACAGACACAAACAAATCCCTTATATACAAATTACTGATCTTATCTTCATTTCTCATTCTCTACAAACAAATATTGATTGCATCGGAACATAAATAAACTTTATCTACATGATTATATCGATATATTTCCATTATTATTTTCACGTAAGCATAAAAAGCATTAAAACAAAACAACTTAGTAGATAATATTTCGAATAATTAAGTAAATAACACTGATTTTATACTATAAAAATAGAGATAGAAGCCACAGAAGAGTCCAAATACGCAATAATGGGCAATGGTTCAAGTTTTTTTTACTACATCAACACAGTAATCCAATTATTACGATGATTAACAAATAAGTCAGCTGGCAGTGAAAAAGATTAAATATTGAACATATGACTCAAGAAAAAATAAAGCGAAAAGACTTTAAACAGAAATTAACATTTATATACTTACATTATGCACAGATTTTGGGGAAGCAGTTTCCAAGATAGAACTAGTTTGAGTAGCGATAAATTCATTTGTATTCTCATCACCTGAAAATTGGGAGGGTCCCAGCAGCAAATAGAAGGAAATATTGATACGGTATGAACAATTCAAGTACTGAATTCAACAAGATATACAATAAATGTATTAGATAATTAAAAATAAATCAGTATACGATCATGCTAGCTTAATAAATAATATAAACGGACCGACAAGTACAAAAATTTGTAATTTGAAAATGTATAATTCACTTATCAACGGTTATAAATTGATAAACTGACATAAGATACATAAATATAAGTTATGTACAATGAAAATACATATGCATAGATACATATATGTTGAAAATTATAAACTGTGAAAGAAAATCTAACTGATATCATTTTGTAGTTTATAACTGTCCAGTAATGAAAACTCACGTCTGTCTATTAATAACAAAAAAGTTAGAATGATCCAAATCAGGTCTCATGCATTAGATGTAGTATGGGTGCTATTAAAGATATTATCTGGTAATCTTAATCCACAAAAGAGTGGAATGAAGCGCTTGAATATTTGATCAGCTTAGTTGAAAAAACAGCTATTACTTGGTTACTAGAAACAATGATTATCCAATAATAGAAATAATATATTTGTAATGACCATGTGACACAATTGTAAAAGTGACACAAAATTACAAATTTTATTGTATTTCAGATTATTTTAAAGTCTTTTCGAATGAAAAAAACAACATATTAATGAATCATCACCAGAGATTGAACAGTGTACATGAATACATGCATGGAACAAAAGTTACTGGTCAAAAGGTACAAATCATACAAACCACTTTGCGAGTTTATACGATGTTGACGAAAGTCAAAATATACGTTTCATCCGTAGTTTAAATCACTCAATAGAAAACTATTTGAACAGTACAAAATGCTCATTTTTGTATCGTTTGTTTGAATCTTTCCCATTGACGTTTAAAACTGCAATTGATCAGTCTCTTATTGGCACCTCATTGTACAAGCTAATGACTATCTGGACCCAGTTGTTAAGTGGGTAGCGTGATGGCATTTGAACCGAACGACACTGGGTTCGAGTCTAAGAGTGAACATCAACTATGGAATGAAGGCACGTCTAGCTAAAGACTAGTCCCAAATAGGACGAAACACGCATCTTGGATTCAACTGCTAGCTACCATCCATCATAGCTTATAGTAAAAATGTGTTAAAAAGTTTAATATGAAAGTTATTTTTGCATTACTTTAAACAGTGTAATTATTTTAATTGGTTTTAGATTACATTTAAACGAGAACAATGGTGTAATTAGTATTTCATGGAATCATAGCAAAGTACTACAATTTCATAAAACACTAAACAATCGTCATACTGTACATATATATTTCTATTGACGACACACAGAAGAATAAATTTTAACTGTTTCCTATTTGATGGAAAAATAGAAATCGGATAATGGACAGGTCAAAACTCCAACTAATAATAACAATAATGATATTTATTTATTACAAACCATCTAAAGCATGAAAAAAGAAACCGCCGATGATTAACGAGATTAATTTCTCCGAAGAATAAGTGAAAAACCTTGTACACACATATATAATGGTTGACATACAAACATAAAAGCATCTTTGAAATGTACTCTATCCTGTGAAATGTAATTTTCTTTTCACTCAGTAACAACTACTGATCAATACAAAAATAAATAAATGAATAAATGGATGAACACTCAACAAAGAGATTTCAAGAGAAAAAGATTGTTAATATCCTGTTGTTAAACACAACTATAAAAGTCATTAAATCAATTTTTCTGTCTTGGCATACAGTTAATAATAATAATAATAATAATAATAATAATAATAATAATAAAAGTACTAGTGAATTCATGTACAAATAGAAAAATAAACAAACAGACAAGTTAATTCGATGCGATGTTTATCCGTCCAATTTCATCGTAAACTCTTACATGGAACGCACCAACATTGTTATTCAAGATATTAAAACTAAGTTTGAAATTAGCAGAGATGGATAGTGGCTTGTGAATTAAGGTATACCGAGGCAATACGCACAGTATGCACATATGCCAATTAGAGACTGACCAGTTGCAGTCCTAACAAAATCGATGGGAAGATTCAAACAAATAATACCAAGTGAATTTAAGTTTGAAATTGTTATAAATATTTGAGAAATTATTATACAAATGTTTAATAGAGAAAAGAAAGTAGGAACCGACATATAAAAGGGCAACAAATCAGAAAAAACATGCTAATTTAAAGTTGAATACATTTTTTATGTGATAATAATAACCTTACGAAGCAAGGGCTAAGTCAGAAACCTGAAGGGAAACAGAAAAGAAATATCAACTAAAACAGATGATGATGAAGAGTTGGCAGCTTGAAACCAAGCTAAAGTAGGCAAGCAGCCTAATCAAATTATTCCTCTTATTCAAAAACGTGATACTAAGTCAAAAAACGCTTGATCGATGTATCAAAGAAAGTTACTGATCGAATACTTAATTGATCAAGTACAGTCAATAGTCGTGAAATAAGCGAGAGTGGATTGTTGTACATAATGCTTGACTTTTAAGAAAGGATTTCTGAAAACTGAGAACCAGGGTCACCATTCACTTAGACCCGTTATTCTTTTTAAGAACTTGTAAATGTCAGTGAAACAAGAATACATCAATATGGACTATATAAATATCAGTGCGAAAAACAATCTTATTCACCTTTACAAAATGCACACCACTGTATTAAATCACACAGTATGTCTACGTGTATACTGATAAAGATCACTAATGAATTCATGTAGTTAACAACACCATAATGTAAGTGATTAGTATATGTGAAGAAATACAACAAAATACAATACAAAAGCCCCACTAATTAAAGATATAGAATTAAAGCAAGCATAATGAAATGGCATTTTGGAATATGTAGAGTCATGAAGATAAACTGTTGTCTATAGTGGGTGAAACATCTTTTTTTAATGATTCTACAACTAATCATTATCAGAAAAATTTGGATTGAAGTAGATTTCTTGTGTGAAAACAGTCTGTTGATGCATGTTTACGGTATAATGTGATTTTTAACAAATAAGACTATTACTAAAGGCATTTCACGTATTGATCTTCAAGAATATTTAATGTTTACTACAAGCATTCCATTATAAGATAAAACCATCATTTAATAGTTGAATTCATGAGACTACTTGTGGATGCGCACTGTTGAGGAGTGCCATACTTGAAAGATACGGCCATCCAATACTTCCACGTTTCCAATGGTGGTCTAGCTTGAATCAACTCATGAATTCAACCGAAAAAGTACTACAATCTCCACAAACCCCCATTCTGACAATGAAACTATCAATAAAAATTTCACTTCACATGAAGCGTAAGGTCAATATTTTGTAAGATATATGTACAAAAACTGTTTGTCAATATTTGTATATAACAAACCTAATTTACGATGCTATAAGTTTGAAAAATTCTGTACTCCGGAAAAGTTCAGTAGATTATTCTATAGAAAATATGATTTTTTTTTTATAACCAAGAAATTACAAAAACGTTGAGAAACACAACTTTTTATGATGAATATAACATAATTGAAATTCTTTGTATGAGTAGTATTAATACCTGATCAACTGAACTTATGTATGTAAACCTGGTTTGAAACAACTGACCGGATGATTGAAAAGTTAATGTCATGCTCAGCAAACAATCATTTAACAAATAATTAACAGAACTATTGGACTTCACTCACAACAAAGTCGTGGTAAAAAGCTCACTAAATAAATGTGTGCTTGATAAATCATTAACATTAGCGATAAACACAAGGATTCATGTTTTTCATGCATACATTTAAAATGGTTATAACATTCAAATGGAACAATATGTAGTTAAATACAGTACATACAAAAATATATAATTATCCATGTATATCATATGAATTTACACCAAGCATTATATATATATTACACGAGAAGAAACAACGAAAATTTTATAAAAGGATTAACACTGAAAGCGATAGATCGCAACATATTGTAATAAATCATACCCTTTTGACTAGTTATACGATCCGAAAGTGTACCTTGAGGACCTAGATTTGTGTATATAGTTTTAAGTTAAATAACAATTAAAAATTTGATAATTTTTAATAAATTGAGCATTTGGTAGATTTTTATAAATAAATAACCGAATGAGTAGAAAAATTAGATATATGAATTACAAGTTGACACGCAGCACAGATCACGAACGCTTACAAAGAAAATGGATTTTTGATCTACAGAACTAACAGAATAGATCACCAGAGAAAATACGCTGACCATTGGTGGGAAAAAATCCACTGCTGATTGAAACATTTTAAAAATAATTTTATGCATCAATTTAGCAAGGTGTTCTTCGGATGTTCTGATCTCAAGACAACGACATCACGATACACTATGGTACAATGTCAGCGATTTTCATTTGACCATTCAACGCTTTTTTCACAAAATAAAACTCAATTAGGTTAGGTAAATCTCTTGCAAAATGGTAACTCCAATTTACACAATAGAAAATTATCCAAATATTTCATAATTTTGAGACCTTATGAACTCCAGGAAACTAATGTAATTTGCTACATTAACAACAAACATTTTAGTTATGTTTGTGTTGTTTATCATGCATACTATCAATAATAATTATTTTTATTAAATTCGGTTGAAATATTTTGAATACAATTTTGGATACAATGCCAACTTACAGGGGTTATCAAAATTTATAAAAGTTAATAGGTTCTAATAATAAAAGAACACGGTGTGTTGTTTCAAAAGACATAAGATGTCTAAAAATACCTTAAAGTGAATGCTTGTGACAAAAACACCGTTAATCTATTCAGAAGGGTAAAGAGATAATATCACAACGGGAAAATAGTAGTGATTTCCCACACATACACGCACATACATAAACATACACTGTACCAAAATATAAATTTAGTAAACATAAAGAAGTAACATTACGTGGACATAATAATGTTGAATAGTATAAATATATCTATCTATCAATATGTCACCATGATTACAACAATGTGCAGATTTTAAGTCAAATATCAAGGTAGATGTATCAAACGGAACAAAAGTCTAGTTTGTTTATTCCCATCTTTTTTTTATTGAAAATAAAAACTTTATTTTATCCAGAATAAGTGATTTACGTTGTAAAAGAAGAAAAAGGGGCATAAAACTTGATAACTTCATGAGTAAATGAAAAAAATGTTTTGATATTGTACATTGAAGTAAAGCATTTACATAATTTATTTCACTATTTACTTGTTACTTTATTATGAAGCTTTCCTAATATATTACTATAATAAAATACAGAAATTACACGCATATAAAATGAGTTTATCTATGTATCCAATTAGTAATTTGAACAATTGTTAATTGTTCAATATGAACATCCGTAAAGAAGCTAACTAATATAATTCATTTATCAAGTGCAATAGTCTATGAATCTCAGTTTTCGAATCACATCGTGTTTACTTGGGCGCTAATAAGAGAACTACATCAACCAAAAACTTGAAATAAATCAAGCAGAGTTCGAACATTGAGAACTGAATGATTCAACGTTTAATCACTAAGAACATAATCGCATATCTGTAGTAATCCATGTTAACTTACATATTAGTGGTATTAAAGGAAGTACAATAGTGAAATAAGCCTAAGTTATAATTAAAACCGAACAAATTAACAGTTTTTAACCCTTTAAATGTGCTTATTTTTCACAACGATTTACATAAATCTTGCACCACAATAAAATACATTTGATAATTGATTTCGTATTTTTAAAAATGAAATGTGTAGTTAACATTGTACAGTCAAACAAACACAATAACTCTGCTTTACGTGACGTATATATATATATATATATATATATATATATATATATATATATAAACTTGTGACACAAAAATATACACAGAAGAAAGAAAATAAGTGAGTGTGTTAGTAGTGATCATATGTACCAATTAAGTTTAAGCAAATATTAACACAGTTTTGGGTTTTTACAAGGTCATTCATCTTCCATAATAAATCAATAGATTATGGCGTTCGTTGTATGCAGTCGTGCCAACTTGCTAAGCTATATATATATTGAAATTTCTCATTTCCTTAACTTGCTATTACAATAAAGATATATATCATATTAGTCAAATTGAGACTGAAATGAAAGTGTTTCATCAGTCAAAAACATCCCACTGCAGTAAAAATACTGCTATTACAATACTCAGCTTAAACAGTTGTGTTGCATATTTTTGAGTAATAATATGATCATCATCATACAATTCAGTTAGTTCGCCCCAAAATGCTCGCAACGGCCGACGGTATTGAGAGTTCAATCTCACACTCGGAATCTTCTCATGTAGCAACGAGTATATGTCAACTCTCAGCGAAATCCTGTTGACTTTGTTCTCGTGGAGATGGTGTTATTCACGAAAAGTGGATGTCCAGTGATTTAATCGGGTTCGTGAACAAAGAGAGTCAACATAAAAAAATTGGAAACACTGATTCCAAACTAATAGTGCACATAGACTCCATGAACCTGAGGGAACAGATGACGTATGAACCTATTGTTGGTTACCAGACATCATATGGAATCGCATCTTCTAAGGTTGCTTCACTGCCTTGTGGATTACACCTCTAGATCAAAGACTAGAGGAGTGGCCCTCTGAGGAAAAAACCTGCTTCAGTTTGGGCAAACGAGCAGTATCCCAGTCCACTATAGAAATTTGATGTTTTGTGGGACGCGTATATATTTCAACGTCCCTTTGCAATAATGTCCATTACATGATAATGATAATAATAATAATAATAATAATAATAATAATAATAATAATAATAATGTACCGTGAACAAAAGACAGTTGTCTTATGGTTATATTTTCTGTATCAAATTAATGTCAAGATAACTTTTATGTGAATGAACCTTTTCAATCATTCGCTTTTGAAATGAATATTATAACGCACTCTCAAACCATCATTCTACTATGATACTTTTAATAAACCAATAATTATCCTAATACGTTTTCCCTTCTCATATTTCAACGACTTCTACCAATTAATTTCTAACTGTACGTTATTAAAAATTATTGTGGTGAATTACCAGTTTTACACACTATAATCATGACAGGGCTCATACAAGACATGATTTTGGAAAACAAAAGAATCAAGCAGTACAGAAAAAAAAACCATACTTTTATGATTCGCGTGATGAATTATCTGGAATTCATTGGTCAGTTGTATATGTAAACAGAGTATGCTGGAGGGAAATTAAGTAATCAACGGATAACAATCACGATAAATAAAAGAGACTGGGAATACACAGTTATTAACCGAAATCATGAACCGGTCAGTGTTAGACGAACACTGACAGCCTGGAAGCACTGGACGGTCCTGGGTTCGAGTCTCATGTACGGGATTGTGGATAAGCACACCTGATGAATCCCAAACCAGGATAAAACGTTCATCCAGTGATTCCAGCTTTTTAATTATGGTTTAACATAGATATGTTCATGATTTCTTTGAAACTGAAAAATCTCCACAAATATTTTTAAGTGATCAGAAAAACAACTCATAAATTTTGCATGTTGTATTCGCAGCAGAGAGAATTGTTTTCCACAAAAGCCCTGCAAGTGAACGTGTGCAAATAGTTTATTTGAACTAATATTTTAATACATTAAAAATCATTGATACATACTCTAAGGTGACTAGATAGTAAAAGAAACAATTATGAAGTTAACAGTTAGAGTGTAATACACATAAATTGAAAAGTCTGATCATAACAGAATCGCGATACATATTACGGTTTTTAAAAGTTAAAAAAAATCTTTATTGTGATGTCGACCACAAAATCCAATGAAAGGAAATGAACTGTTTCTATTACGGCTAACGAAAGAGCATGGATGATCAATTCTAAAAGAAATAAAAATTCTTACTCAAAGTGGAATGCATATACTCCATTTGGCCCCAAATATCATCATTCTCTGTTTCAGCTAATATTGTACTGTCAAAAGCTGAATTGAATAAACCAGTATGATCTGGAAGCGAAAAGAACAGAAATAGAAAAAAAGATAAATACTGACACAAACTCCTCATTAATTTAAATAATCAGTCATCAGAACAAGTAGAGCATACAAATATTTGGTGAAAACAATGAAACAAATTGACAATCTGAGTAAAAACAGTGGAGGAACAGGTAAATTATTCTAACGATGCTATTCAAGATCAATAAGGAGAAAGGTGGATAATTTTCAATTTCCAAACAAGTGTTATGGAGGAAGTATCAGATAAAACATATATATATATATATATATATATATATATATATATTATTGAATGCGTTCAGTTTTATTAATAAGATCAGCGAAAACGTAAATTGAAGTGTATTGTGGATGAATTTAAAGCCGTAATGTCTAATACTAAAAAGCATTTGAATATCCAGTAGTAACAGTTATTTCGTCCCAAGTCCTCAACTATGTAATAATGTGTCATCATAGTTTAACACAGGGGTTTCATGTACTGTGAATGAAATGAAGGAGTAAGCAGTAGTTTGATGGGTGAGAGATGGAGTTGGTTAAACGACACATTAGTCCATCCCCTATGATTTGATTGACAATATTTCTTATGACATATGTGACACGTATGTTCCATTTGTTTGAAGAGAGAAACTGCAGATAACAGTCTAAATGCTATCCCCCTGAATATCTACATGATTAGTACAAGTGCCAGATTAGAAAAGTCTATGTAAGCTGTACTAGTTTTTAGAACAGCATATTATTTAAACAGTAGGGACATTATGGATATAAGAATGCGATGAATTCATTGGGTTACGTCTCCGCCTAATAACTTGTATAAAAGCTAATGTGTTTAATTATTTCCAATTGATGACATAATGTTAAAAATGAATTGTCAATCAATAACGAATAAGCTAATATGGAATATAAAAGAGGTTAAGAATTTAAGTTTGAATAAGGTGGATTTTTTTTTATTATTACTTGAGCTAATGGTTCCAGTATATTAGGAAATTGGTCTAACGAAATTTTTAAGCTTAAAAAGGAAAATTAAACATGTGAGGTCAACTCATTAAATTATGACGACAATTAATTGAAAAAGGGTCAATATGTTACTAAGGTAGCGATGGCTCTCAACCAGCTGTTTTTTTAATAAAAAGATCAGGTTAATGCCTTCTGATAGATTTGGCTTCTGTGAATTTGAATAACATGGAGTCGGACCCGCTTATTAATAACCTTAAACGACTTAATTAAGCCAATGCTGTACTTCATGTCTAGGTGAATGAATTCTATACATTCGATAACAGTCTCACATAAAAATGATATTAATCATCTTCACTGCTGTCATTTGTGAGTGCACCGCATTGGATAATATTTATTGCTATCTCCTCCTTCTTTGTGTTGAAGGATGCTTTGATGATCCTGGATTCATGAAATTTCCACCCTACAAGTGTTTTTGTGCTTTGTAAAGCGTTAGTGCATCTTCCTCTGTGTGCGAAGCCAGAGCTAATCTCTTCTGTCCAGTCTCTGTTCAATGGATTTAACTTAATGGAAGCACCGACAGGTTGTATTTTTTCATTTCTGCAGCTACTTGAAAGGTCCTATCGGTCTCTCAGATTGTGCGGACATTCTATGTACCTATATTAATTGTGGCTCTCATTGTTGGAAGGGGTTTCGGACTCATGGTTTCCGAAGAATTTCGGCTTACACCATGAGGTGTTAAATTCTGCTAAATAAAGTTCACTCAAATGCCAGGACAGAGTTTAAGTAGTCAAATGCTTTTTTCGAGTTAGAATTTTCTTAACAAGGTTGTTTCCTACAGTGCAGAGTTTCTGACTCCGTTTCCATCCACGTGCATTTAAATTGACATTTCCAGTCAAAGTTGATTAACTGACGAGTTTCCATCTATGCGCGGTTATTTTTATCCAAATCACTTGTAAGTTGAAGGACTGTGAATACTAAGCATAACTTTAAACCAACTTCAAACTAGATAACAAAGCAAATTCTTTAGCATAGCGCATTGTACGCTTTCAGAAGAGTGGGTAAGTGTATTGAAACTTTGGATATGATTATCTGTATGATTATGGATTGACATTTAAAATCTCGATAATAATTAATAACTACTCTTTCACCGAATACAAACAATCTGTCGAACTACTTATAACATCTTCAATTCATAGAATGTAACGCAATAAAATTAGTATTCAAGGGTATAAAAAGTAACACAAAGGCTCTCTATAATGTCTTGTTCGTGTCAAATACATTATCTAATGGAATACTTGAAGATGCATATCTATTAAAAAATGGTGTGAAAAAACCTGTACATGAATGCTCTGAATAACAAGGCATACGGGAAACGTGTGCACACAAACATTATGATAACATTTATCGCAGATGTGCTACATGTTATGATCATTTGGGTTTTATTATGCGTTCTTCAATTGATAGCTAAGATAAGGTTCATCAACAAGTTTACGGGTTAGAATTCCCTACTCTGAGTAGGTATACCTTATCGTCTATCAATCTACATCCTAAGCTTTGACGGATAGTATACTTCGATTAGTAATGAGCAGTCACGAAATAATCTTAACGCTTGCTGGATCAGGACGCAAACTTTACCTCTATGCCAGTACTCAGTTTGATATGAAAACATAGTAACAGGCAATGATCTGTTGCTTTATTCCCGAAATTCATGGGTTTATAAATATTAATTATCAGACTGCACCATATGTCAAATGAAAAACCATCAATTTAAACACAACTAAGTTTTAGAAAATGGAGTACAAAATGACTAATTAAAGTAGCAATGATTAAGGTACAACTAGTAAATCGAATGAAAGCTTACAACATAGTGAATATAAAACTATAATAATTCAGTTCTTTGTTAATTCCGTGAGGAATTATGAACAATGGATAAACATGGTACGGTAATAGTAACGTTATAATATTAGATTGTATGTAACAATAAAAGATTATATGTGCAAGTGCAAGTAAAAGATTGTGAAATTAATAAGTTAACGACAAATTATAACGTGAATGGAGTAAGATCATTAAAGTGGTTTCCTTACAAGAATTAAGAGTGATAGAGGGGTAAAGTGAAATGAAGTGATATCAGAAACACTCACGAATGAAATCATAGGGATATGAGAAATAATTAATGAGAGAGGGGGATATAATATTATTAATAATAATTCAAGGCCATGGTGAAGATAAGAATAAGAAGTACTTCTTTTGTACGCACAGTTCTGACTTGATCGCATGGATGGTAAGACTTTTTGTTATTTTAAGGAGTTGGATACAAAGAAATCTAAATAGATCTAGAAGAATTGTATAAACAACTTTAGAATGAACTTGTGGATTAATGGAGTGAATGGGATCGATAAAATACTCAAGAACAGAACTTTTAACTGCTTTCCTCTCACAGTTGTAGAATCCCCCAGTGATATGTTCTCGTATGCGAGTTAAGTGCAAGCGATGAATAAGGTCTATGTGCTTTGTTCAAAAAGAGCAAGTGAACTGGTAAATACACACAGAGGTAAACGGATGAAGAAGTTTATCCTTTACAGATACAGAAACCAGGTTTCGACTAGTGAACGCTTGGTTAAAGCTTCAGTTAATAACTTAAACATACAATAAGAAAACATATAATATAGTTATCTGTAAGTTAACACTCCCTAAAAATCCAATTCGTTAAAACATTAACAAGTAAGAGAAATAAGGGATATATTAGACCATAAATTACTCACGCTTTTGTTCTGTAACATCAGATGAATAATAATGATCATCTTCATTTGATTTCATCTTCTTATCAGATGATGACAACCGATGTGAAATTGATGGTGAAGGTGCTGAAAATTGATTATCGAAACAGTAGTAAAGGAGAAACAGATAGAAACAAAACAAAAAAATAATTCTTTAAATGTGAGAAATTCAAACAATGAGATATTATTGGTTAGAATGTTGATGATGAATACTGGATAAAATCCACAGATAGGAGGAGGAGAATTCAACATGTTAATTTAAACAAAAAACTAATCGATGTATACATTGGCAAAGCCATTTATTATTCACTGATTGTCGTATATATAAATGCCTATTTTAGCTAAAAGGTTCTTTTAAAGATTCTTTCAATCTGTAGGTTGTATTCGTCATTAATTGATCACAGTCGAGGCATCCCTGAAAACCAGAAAGAACTGAATAGCGGTTTAGACATGGTATGGAACCCCTCAACAGTGCGAAACAACAACCCCACAAGAGATAAAACGCAGGAACATGAAGTCTCACAGGAAATAAATCAGTTTTCAAAGGTACAAGTTTAATTTCCGTCAGTTTTTAATATAGTCGATGTCGTTTATTGTGACTAGTGACAACTTTTCCACTTTTGACACGACTATATACTTCATTTCATTTGTGTAGAGGTTAATCAACACTCAACTACATTATATTGTCCGACAACTGATTAGTTCATCATAAAAAATGATGATACAATGTCTCTGCTATTACATTTCCACGGTTGATTTCAGCGTGAATTATATAAATAACGTATTTCAATTAGATATTATTGATTTAAACATACATACTGAAATAATACTTAACTCAAGTTGGTGTATTGAACATATATATTAATAGAAAAAAAAGACTAAACAGCGATTTTTATTCTACTGCATCGAAAAACACTGCCAAATAATTCCATGATGAAGTGATTAATTATAAGATTCGGTTTCCAACTATTGAGTTATTGCGTATAAAATAAAAAAATCAGACTTCTCCATGTTTATATAGATAGTTATCTCATAGAACACATAAATGTGTAGTGTTCCAAACAAAGTACACATGAACCATGAAGTTGTCGATGAGTTTCATATAAACGACCATGAGAGAAAATAGTGCTATTCAATACTTCGGTATCTTGTTAGCATGTAAATATTAAAAATTTTAATCTATACGTGTAATATATGAACAGTTCATGATATATCAGTATTTTATCACATCACCACAATTATTTACTTTGTAACAAATTCAATAAATATCTAAATCTGTCTAATTTCATATAACTGTTATCTATAGTATTGACAAAAAGTTATCAACTTGTTTGGATTGCAAAATACAAATATAATTTTAGGTGTATTTATCCAGATCTTTCGGTGAGTAGTACACATACGAACTTATTTGTGCTTTTTTTCAGGAAAAATACCATTTCAATATGAAATGACTGGAATCCAACCAACCAAGCCTATGAATATATATATAAACATGTTTAGGTAACAGTGTATTTACAAAATATAGTATATTGTTAAATGCTAATTGAATATTGCATGTAGGTTGAGACTACACATTTTCATTGTTCAGAAAGGTCAAATTTACATACAACCTTGCATTCATCATAATCAAATTACTAATTGCATACATGTGTAAACAATCAGTAACTCTTAATTTATGTGATCATTTACATTTCGATTTTCTTTGACCTAGTTAATATGTAGAAACTACGTATGAATCATCAATTCATCTCTTTCCACTGTTTATTTTATCGCATTTTGTTTAATTTGATTGTAACTCAATTTTACCTTACGAAGAAATTCATATTTCATCCTCTGCCTTATCTATGTGTACAATAGCTTTCTAGACTACTGTGTTGTTTGAACAAAACATATTTGACTCCACGTTTACATGTAGTTAATTTAAAGTCTTTATGTCTTTGAATTAATTAAATGGTAATATTTTTTTGTCTTTCCTTTAATATTCTTTCTTGATGGTAGTTGTAAACCGCCTTCAAATTCGTACCACACAAGAATAGAAGCATTCAAGTTTATGGGATGTATTTAAATCATATGTTCATTATAATGGTACAATTATTTTGAGAGAAATGACGAAAAGGAGTAGTGGAATACTTATCAGGAAAAAAAACTGATGTTCAAAATTTTTCTTGGTTTTCAGTGACATTATATGTAAAGTTATTCAGTAGTCAGAAATCTATCTTCCATTTGAACAATCTTCACAAAAACCACCTGGGTTAATTTATCAAAAGAATTTTCAGTGTTTAAGTTTACAATTTCACACTTATCGTCTGTATTCACACAGTTTGTAAAATTCGTCTATTTTTTTTCTCGATAAGACTAGTGCATTTGTAGTCTGGTGAGGTAACAAACAGTACACAAAGAGGACATTTTTGGGTAAATTAAACAATTCCTTTATTTCTTCCAAACACAATTGCCTCAAATGACGTAAGTCATAAATACTGGCGCCAAATAATGTCACAATTACGGTTAGAAAGTTGGCATATTAAAAACCAAGCATAAAGGTTGTACCTAATCTTAACAATAATAACTAAAATTCTTCTAGTGACAATGACGTAAAAAGATTTGTATTCACTGTATAATTTGACTAATCAGTTAGAAATATGTACATATATAGCTTTGTGAAGCAGTTATGACACGCATCGACAAAACGTACAGTGAAGTTATTAGACATCGTGCCTGTAATACAGAACACGTTCAACAGTTAATTATTTAACTGAACGATGTTATGTCTTGATTCGGTTCACCTCAACATTCATTGAATCTATATTTACTCGAGCCAGTATTGTGTGATTGCTAGCCATATGTAACACATGTTACAGATATCTCAGTTAGAAGCTTAACGAGTTCATCAACTGACTTCCTATATTCATCTAGTACCATATGCTTACTCTCAACACTGCTCACTCGATCGTCTCATGATGTACAAGAAACTTATGATTACATAAATGCACTCTGCGTAAGCATTTTACTTTCATAGACAATATTTAACACATGAAGAGTAATACAAAGCTAACTGCTCAATATTCCATTAACAGAGAAAAATCTTGTCTACGCTATAAGTGATTTATTTGAAAAAACGAGTTAATGAATTCTGGTTGTGAATAAACAACTGAGAAATAAAACGATTGAACAAGCAAATTAAAGTCCTACTTTCAAAGAAACACCAAATGCCTTGGTAAGATCGAGAATGGAGAGAGTCAGAACCCCATCGCCAAATGCTCTCACAAGGCTACGTGGATACAACTACTATCAGGGAGACCCTACTCAATGCCTTCTCGAGGTGAGGGTGTTGTTTACGAAATTGAGAAGCGAATGTCCGGCGCTTTAACCGGGTTGGTGGAAATGGAGAATCCATCTATGGGAGTTGGAAAACTCTGATTTCAAACCAACGATGCACATAAACATCAGGATCCTGAGGCAACAAATGGCGTATGAACCAATTATTGGTCACCGGCTACTATGGGACTGCATCTCCTCACGATGCTACACTGCCTTGTAAATTAGACCTTTAAATCAAAGGCTCCGGGTGTGGCCCCCTAAGAAAACCACCTGATTCGTTCTGGGCACCCGGGAAATATCACAGCCCTCACATAAATCAAGTGACTTGTGTGATGCATGTGTATTCGGTACCCTTTTGTACTAATATTTATGTGTTCAAATAAATAAATATGATAATATTAGGACGTATCATAATGCTGAAACAAAAAATTTACAAAATCTCAGCTTAGAAAGTATATTATGGACATTGTTCCATTAGCGAGTTTCTACAGTTAAATTTAATTATTCAGGAAATAAACAGAAGTGGCGCAAACTACCTATTTATTCAATACTAACAAAAATACTAAGAACAACAACAAACATGAGATGAATTAAACTAATCACACGTTCATTTCCATACAAAATTAGTCATATAAACAATAATTAGAGCATATTCTAAAGACCATACGAATAAAATATTTTCAATCTACAAACGCCAGTCAAGAAATTTCCTTAGAATGTCAGGTTAACATGACTACCAAGATAATAATAACCTTAACAATTTCGAACAGATAGAAACATAAACATACTCGGGATTTTAGTGAAATCGACTGAAGTAGTTAATTTGAAGAATATTTCATACAGTGAATCTTAGATATAACATACTATAGTCTTGTTATTCATGGTTTAGTGAATGGCAATCATAATCTAACGGTATAAATGTCTAACTTCAATTGATTCATCATCTTGCTAAATTCTTTATCCATTGTCTGAGGTGGATAACTGTCTCACACAAGACACTAATTCTCATTAGAACTCCAGCAAATATATCATGAAGCTAGTCCGGCTAGTCCTAGATCAGTGGTCTAGAGGTTAAGAGTTCGCGCGCGAGAAAGAATTTTATGGGTCTGAGTGCTGTATGCAGGATCGTGGATGTGGACTGTTGAGGAGTCGCACACTAGGAGAAAACAGCTGTCCAGAGCTTCCACGTATTCGGCGGTGGTCTAGCTTGGATGGACTCGTTAATATAACTGTTAAAAGATATCTCTATTTTCAATATTATCATAATGATTATTATTTTATTATCAACTTAAAACAATAGATAGCCTCCGTTTCAACTATTAGGTTAATGTTGCTCACAGTTACTTTACTGGCCGTGATGAATATATGTTCTCCTCTCTCATAACCACTGACTTACAAAATATTAAGCAGACAATTGTCCTATCACGGTTCAACCTGCATTGGTATACTAACAAATATATAAATTTTTTTTAGGTTCATGACTTGATACATATTGGTACAATTGTCCATCATTGTAAATAAATTCATTAGAAAAGAGTCCTTTCTTAAAGCAACTTACTCTATCATTCGGTGGTAACTAATTTACATGAATGTGATTAAATATGTATGAGCATATCTCGAGCTCTTTGGTATGATGAACAAATCAGTGAAGCCAATCACAATATTTTGGGTGAAAAACACAAATATAACGAGAATTACAGCGTGAAATAAAAACCTTAGCGAAACTTTCAGTATAATATCTAATATTCAAGTCCAAAATAAATGAGAAAATATTCAAAATGGTTCGAGACAGAACACACTTATTGAACACTGAAAAAATTTCAGATAACTTCCATTATATAAATCATAAAAAGTAGGGAAGCAGTGTTAACAAATAAAAAGTGGAAAATAGATAATTAGACGAATCCTGCAAATGGTCATCAAAAAATAACATATGAATATTAAAAATTGCTAAATAACATACCAACACCATCTTCATCTAATTCTGTAAATGGATGTTCACGCATAAAATCTGGATGTTCTAACATTAGCGTTTGATCCAGTTCTTCATGTTCCTCCTCCCAACTGACTACAGTTGTAGTGACAGTTTTTAAAATATCAAATATTGTAACATAATGCTGTTTACGTGCTATATGTGCTGGTGTCAGACCTTGCTATAAAGAGGTGTTCAGTGAATAGTGATGATCATATGTCAATATTCATCACAGTCCGACGTATCGAACGAAATGTGAAATGAAGAGCAAAAAACATACAGAAGCATGGATTATATACTATCATTGAAACCAATATAACAATAACACTAATAATAATAAAAATAACTATAATGCTAAGTATCATCATTATTCATTTCAACAGACTATTTTTTTCACCTCTCAGTATATATATATATATATATATATATATATATATATATATAACGAGAATTCAGCGAAGGATATTTTCTTTGATAATCCTCTTTATTCCGATCCAACAATCACTATGAAAAGACTATTTTCAATGGAATGTAAACTTAAGGTTATTTTAATAAAATTTTGAGGAAGATTTCAATACAAAGTAGTGCCAGTTATGAATCTGTAATGTTGTTGTACGACCAATTAATTAATTCGAGGAAACGAATCGAATGTTGATATGCATATTTTTGCAGTAGTAAGATAAACATTATGAATAAAATCAGAGACAGAGAGCAACTGTTCAAAAAATACAGGCTTCTAGACATGCACACATACACAGTATATACAATCCAGAAAAATCTAATCACTGACAGTTAGGAAGAGTATATACTAATTAAGGTTAATTGACGCTATTGAACTCATATTTGTCATATAAAAAACAAGAGAACTAAAGAAACTTTTCCGGTTTAAAAAATACCGTGACAATTACGTCCTCAGTAAATACGGAAATTTTCCAAATGACTTCACAAGATTAGAAATTGATTTGCCGATGGTACTGAATGAGATTTACCGTGAAAAACTATCCTCATTAATGACCATAAATGTTTCTACGTTAAATATACAGTTGATAGAAAACCTAATGTATTATTTGGTTCATGTAGTAAGAAAAGATTACGACTACGAAAGTCAATATCATATATGCATACTTCAATATATATTAAGTCGATACCTAAGGTTAATAAAATCAATTCCAACACTTAAGAGATTTACATGGCAGCTAGAGATTTCATTTTATACCGATAAGCACCAAGAAAACTGCGCGTCGAAATAAGTGGACTGAACAAAAATAAAGAAATAAAAATTGTTGAGAGAAAAGGCAGAGAGGGAAGAGCATGATAAAACGTGAATGAGAACAGTTTACAATATGAGAAACAGTGCCGATAAAACCGTAATCAGGAAGATTGCATTCTGTTAAGCGACTTCTACTCACTTTTGTGAAGGATACCTATTCTGCATTATACCTGATAACGTTTCACATCGCAACGTCTTCAGGACCCCGATCAGGAAGTCATGATAGACAGATAGATGCCACTCCTATGCAATCTTTTACAGATCATGATGCCATACCATAAAATGAATGCCCCTCACGTTTTCTAAATAGTTATAGCGACAGCAAATAATACTCCAAATAGAAGCCGCTGGGATGATATTTGTAAGGCACCCTCACAGTATCGCAACCGATGTTTAAAGATGGTGACAAAACTGAATTATTGCCGCTGTGGACAAATAAATACTGTCTAACCTCATCATTGCGAATATGGTGTGACTAGAAATTCAACTCCATTTTTTAAGCTGAACAAGATGGATGAGAAGTTCAGACCAGCGACTCAGTACTTAAAAATGAACTGATAGAACCCATCAAGACATCAAATAAAGTACTGTCACAAGATTATAGAAATATCACTCTTTCTCTAACTTTGAATGGCTGATAAGTGAAAATACTCAGATATCTTTTGTGTCAGAATTGATGAATAATAATAATAAGCCTATTTACATTTCGGCATTAATAACGTAGCTGGATCGACAATACTTGTCAAATGAAAAATATTAGCAAGAAATAGTAAATAGATATCAAAACAATAAGCAAAGCCATACACCAGCCAAGGATATTTTCAGTGTCGTTGTGACATTTTCACCCTCGTAAACACAACAAGTGCATATTTTAGAGTCAACTGAATTCAGTTAGAAATGATTGAATGGCTGTTATATATATATATATATATATATATATATATATATATATTGCTTCGATGAAATTAAAAAGAGTTAGTGAAACTCAAGTATATCATTCTGCTGATGTGATAAGCTAAAATATATCATAAAATACAGTCAATAGAAAACGTCAAATTGACAGAATAGGGTTGTGGAGGCTGTTGAATTTCACTGAAACCATGAAGCGATCAATGTTAGACCATCATTTAAAACCTGAAAGCACTGGACAGCCATTTCGTCATAGTATGGTTATACTCGGCAATGCACCCCCACGATCCTGCATGTAGAAACCGAACCTAGGACCATCAGTTTTGCGCGCGAACGCCTAATCTCTAGACCATCCAACGGTGTTATTGTTTAACTAGGACGAAACGGCCGTCCAGTGCTTCCAGGTTTTCAATAGTCGTTTAATAGTGATCTGTTAATGGATTCAGTGAAAAAAGTTTAAAACATGCTATCGATCTAAAGTGGAAACATATATTAGAGATGGATTTCCGATTTGATTTAATGGCAAACATGAAGAGAAATCTGGTTAGGAAGTATAACATAAGTTCTAATCCCTGATAATCATTGACAATTTGAAATAAAGTATGGTAAACCAGCAATTAGCATCTAAAAAATTTTAAAAAATATGCAAAACATATGATCTAGTAATCAATCTATTAATCGTCAAGGTGCATCTAATAGAAAAATTGTGCGTCTTTTATACTGAAAACCGTTAAGTGATTGGTGAGAAACCCTGAATCTGGTTACATAGTTCATATATGTAGTCCTAAGAGAATCGAACTGATGTTTACTGTAAGAAATTCTTGATTCGGCACTACTTGAAAAGTATCACTCGACGAGTGGAAACTAGCACGAAATCCAGGTCAGTGATTACTTTCTGGTTTACTTAAACCATCAAATAATAAAACACAATCCGCGCAGCTGGTGACTCCATTGTAACCTGATAAATAGAATATAAACATTAATAAGGATTATCCGAACATACTATTTAATACGCTTATTTAGACAATGTAAACTACTACCATCTATCGATCCATCTCAAAACAATTCCGGAAATAGTGCAAAACTGTTGTTTACACTTACATTTCAATGAAATGAGACTTATACGATTTCATCTAGCTAGATTAATTTGGATCATACTCACAAAGCATTTAAAAAATAAAAGAAATTGTCACCTACCTGATTTCTAACATTACTGTCAGCACCCATTTCTAAGAGTAAACGAACCACTTGTGAATGACCTTGTTGTGTAGCTAAATGTAATGGAGTAAAACCCATTTGTGTTCGTTGATTAATATCTGGCGCATCTGGTAAATCTAATAAGTAGCGTATCATGTTAATTTGTCCAAAATGACATGCTGTATGCAACGGACTGTAACCAGCTCTAGTTAGAGGGCTAATTTTAGCACCAGCCGATTTTAGAATTTGTGCTACTGACACGTGATCTTCTTGAGCGGCTAAATGTAGTGGTGCAAGACCATTCTATGAGAAAAAAAATACAATTGTTTTTTTAAGAAAAATTATAGATTTATTCATTACAAAAAATTTCATTACAATAAAGGATTCTCTACAAAAATTTCTCAATATCACAATAAAGTTCTACTTAGCATACATTTAAACTTTAATCATCTGAAAGCATATTTTACGAATGTTTTTTTATAGTTAGTATCTGCCAGTGATTTTGAATCACGAAAGTTTTCCACCAGTTCAGCTGTCATAACTGTCTGTTCAACAGATCATTCATAAGTTGCACAAACTTCAATATATTCATCTCTTGATTACGACCAGCCGACTAAATATTGATTAAATCAATTTATCTTTTCTTATTCAGTAATCTGTGTCAATAACGAAGCATAGACTAGAATGTCATCAATAAAATAAAAGTATACTTGATAACATAATAGCATAAATAAATTTTATAATTTAAGAGAATATTTAATTCAACATACTTTCGACTGATGATTTGGATCAGCTCCATGTTGTAGTAGTAATGAAACCATATCAGTATGACCTTCTTGTGCAGCTAAATGTAATGGTGTAAATCCACTACGTGATGATGAATTTGCGATTTGTATTTGGTCAGATTCATGAGCCAATAAAAGCGTAGCAATATCTAAATGATTTTGTTTAGCTGCCATATGTAACGACGTATAACCATTGCCAGCCTTAAAATAAAAACAACAGGTGTAATCACATAATTTATAACAACATTAATTGTTTCGATACTAAACCATCATAAGACTTGGCAGTAAAATTAATTATCAGATTCAAAGTTCAATAGTCCCTAAAAAAATTTATTGATAAAGAAAGACAGAATAACAGTCAAATGGATTTACTTATTATATGGCGGTAGAGTATCGTAGGAGCTTATTGTTTAGTCATTGATACGTAGTAAAAAATCACTGTAACTACTGAAACTTAACGAAACCAAAACAGAAGTGTTTTGGTATTCACTCTTTGAATAGTATTCAACAAGATCGAGTACTTTATCTGGTAATTGAGCTAAATTTATTAAAATTTATATAAACACTACGGACAAAGCTTGGTTTGGTTGACAATTATACTGACGATAGCTCGTTATCGCTATGTTGACAAAAAGATCTGGATAATGTGAAGTGTCGATATGACTAAGTAGTTTTAACTACCAGTCAGCCATAAAAATGGATCATATCCTTAAGTAAAAAAGAAACGTAATTTTAAAAGTACAAATCTGAAAACTTCATCGAAGATTAAGAATATATGGTCGAACACGAAATGAAACATGATCGCTCATTCAAGTACACACATAACAAGCCATATTTCATTTGAAGATGAATAACATCTAATAATCAAACAGGCATTTCCTCCACGTTTAATCGAAAAAATAATCGTCAAAGAGATACATCATCCATCTAACTTTCCCAATGGTGAAGCTACAGATTAAGATGTGTCAAGTGTATGTGGCTACAATGCGATTAATAAAAGTTTGTTAAAAGTATAAGCCTAATTTTCGAATTTAGATCATTTTGACTCGCTTTCTAAGGTTTGCTTATTTGGAGTATCATCTGATTGATCCGAATCGGATAATATATTTAGCATAAAACAAAGAGAATTAATATTTGAATGGAATAGACTAATAGAATTATTATAGTGCTCACATATAAAACAATAAATTGATTTACTACAATAGATTATTCATGAGGATGAGATTTTGAAATTATTTTGAACTTAAAAGTGTGGGCATACGGTTGATACATGTTGTAGACGTTGATGAGCAGTGATAAGTGAAGTGATAGCAGCATTAAGTTAAAAGATGTAGTATTAAAAATGAACAGTTCACAAACATGAAAAGAAGTATAGATTGTTCCAAATGTCAAATGCTTTTGACTGGTTGTTCAATGATTAGGCAATGTGAATTACAGCCACTAAATCACATATCAGAACCTGGCCTCCCCTGTTTTGAGTTGATCAATAGGATAGTATATCACTAGCTTTGACAGTAGGAGTGTGATTCGAAGTCAAGTACATGAATCTGAACTTGTTAGATTAGTTAATAAATAAAATAATGTAACAAAAAAGACGCGGATGAACCATAGGGAGCGTGATATTGAAATAACAAAGATATACACATACAATCTTCAAGTATACAGTGACAATAAAAATCCACTTCATCTGCTTCTGATTAAACAACCAAGTAATACATTTAACGCTAACATATCAAATCTCGGTGGGTAATCGAATGAATGGGTAATAATGATATCACACAAAAATAAAAATCTAAATCAATTTGCTAAATGCTAATAAAGGTATGTTTAAGAAAGACCTATCAACGTTATGACTACGGCAAGATATTTAGAATTTTAAAACGTGAAACAGTAAAGAAACTAAAACGAAATTATTATTTAACACATATCTATCAAATTAGTGAGTATTTTGTGTTTGTTTTTCAATAGGAATCTTTTTGAATAAATCAGTATTAAAGAAAGAAATAGCATTACATTAGCCTATTGTTTTTCTGTTTAGAACATTTGACAACTTTGACTAAAGCATTGTTGGGTTTTTTGTTGTTGGTTCCTACATTGTTTCACGAGCAAAGTCATTAATCAAAATATATTAAACTGATTTAATTACACACACATGTACGAACACCTAAAAAGCATAACAGTAATTTTTCTGTCTCTATCATAATAAATATAAAACCAACTCAAATCAGATATATGGTGGGTTTAACTAAGATATTATCACGTGAATGAATGCAGAACACATGACTAGTAAAAGTAATAATAATAGGGCACGTTATGTAGTGGATGAAATCAATTGAATGAACAAATGACACCCAACAGAGCAGTAAAGAAGTTTATAATATAGATATGAATACCGATTAAACAATGGTCCCTAACATGTATGTTCTACATACTGATAAATAGTAATCTCTTTTTCAAGAGAAATAAGAAAACAGAATAGAATGTAATGTAGATTACTAGTGTGTGCGTGTGTGTGTCCAAGGCAGTAAGTAGTCACACAGTTTGGAAAAAGAAAACAGAATATGAATTTGATGATGATAAACCAGAAAAAGAATTATGAATGCTTTTTTCAATGAAATGTCATTAAATTGTGTTTATTAAAGGGGGATTGGAATAATTGACTAGTAGTAGGAAAAGACATAATCCATTAATTTTATTCCATCATCCAATATGAAATTACCCAAGAAATTTTACCATATGTCTATCTATCAATAGTCATCATTATCCGCAGTAGCACCGGCTATCACACATTGTAAGATACATTTTGTGCGTTTATTTTGTAAAAATTCCTGCAAGGATACAGTAAATGAAATAATAATACTTTGTCTTATCCTTAAATGCAAATTTTTATTATTTTCGATACCTTCATTTGCATATTCTGCTTATTTTTTGACACCAGATAGGACTGTTGTTAGTCGTTTTACTTGCAATAGTGATTTTCTTCGAGTATAACTCTATAGACGTGACTTTTCCAGATTGTGCTATTTTGTCCCAATTGACTTAGGAACCTGGCGAATCCTAAATTACTTATTTGGATTCTGATTGTTGTTGTTTGAACTGGGTTGAGGTTTAACGGTAACATTAATTCCATAGATTATTTGAAGCACATTTTTACCTCGTAAAGTAATTACATTATACTCTTTAAAAGTTTAGTTGCTTGATTCAATGTAATTTGATTGCATAACAGTTGTATTACTTATTGGTTTTCTGTGTGCACGATTGAACTATTTCATTCTTAACTGAAAGAATTGCATCTGTTGTTTTTCATGAATAGGTTTCTTCTTTGACAAGTAACTACTTCTGTGTACTTTAGAAGTTTATCCACTTGATGGATTCTAAATTTATTCATACAAACTTTGTTAAATGACTCTGTGACCACATAGCCTAGTGACGTTATTCGTTTAGCTATTTCGTATAAATTCTATTTGCAATCATTTAATACCCTACAATAGTGTTTTGGTTTTACGTATGGGGACTAGAAAGTCAGCACCCACTCAAACTATGAGATGGATACAATGATCAGAATGAAACGATAGTCTGTAAATTAAATCCGCCAGAGTTTTATTATTAGGTTGTAGGTGCGATTCTTTTTCCACTTAGTATGGTTAAAATAGATGGGTAGTGTTACTAGTTGAAATAGGTGTGCAGTTGAATAAATAGCATGTTAAAAAGTAGCTGCGTACTATTTTTAAGGGCAATCTTATCATTTCAATTTGATCTACATATATAAAGCAGTTTACACTCTAAAAACAGGAACGTTTAAGGTGTTTTTTTGTTTTCAATGTACAGAAATAAATCAATAAGAGTTTCGACTTTTTCAACTTGGGGTGCTTCATATTATGGGCAAAACCTATTAATGACCTCTAAAGAATTTATGTTGTTTATACGCAAATAAGTAGAATGAGCTACACAACAATTAGGAGACCGTACGTATGGATTTTTAATTTGTTTAGGGATCTGTTTGATAAAGGAATCTCTGTTGACTTTCTAGAAACCTGTTCTTGCTGGTTTACGTTACCAGCAAAATCTTCATTAGGGCAGCGAGCAGCAGTTCCATGATCATCATATTGCTTATTCTGAGTCATTTATTCACTATGATGGCACAACAAATATATTATACGACAGGCTGTTGGTATAACAATTTGAATTTCTTGCTAAAACTTTGATAATATATATAGTAAAGTTTGATTAAAAAGATAAAATCTATAGAAGTGATATCTCATAAACAATAATAGTAATAGTATTATCAATGGTTGTCAGGGTGTTTTAAGTGTTTCTTTAAAAAGTCTAAGTAGTCCAGAAAACTCTGGGAAATCTAATCAACGGAGTAAAGAAGCTTCAAAAAAACATCTAGTAAGTAAAGAGTCACACGCCACGTTTCTGATTAGATATATACCTATCCTGCTACTATATGTAGTACGTTTCAAGAAACTTCCAGAAGACTAAGGTTGCTTAAAACTGCATAATTATCCTGGTTTTTCTGTAAGTAAACTAATAACGTGGTAGAGCGTTCTTCAAGTAATTTCCTCCACTATCTCTTGCGTTCAAGTTGCCATGTAAAATTAGCCTGGTGTTATTAGAAGCGGCTAGGAAATTGAATTGAGTGTTCATTTAGAAGACTTATCAATAATAATAATAATAATAATAATAATAATAATAATAGAGATTAATTTATTCAACTTACTCGACAATCCACTTGTGCATTATTATCCAATAATAATTGTACGACAGGTAGACGATTATAATGTGTAGCTATATGCAACGGAGTTAAATCATTCTGACCGATAGCATTAACACTTTTTGGTTGTGCTTGAATTAATTGTTTAGCTACTTTGACATGGCCACGTTTAGCGGCTAAGTGAAGAGCGGTGAAACCTTTCTGTGTATTTTTGTACACATACATGGAGTAAAGCAAAACAGAGAGAAAGATAAAAATAGAACGGAACAAAACAGGCAAAGTAAAGAATCCCAATTTGTATTATATATAAACCCTGCTACGGCCGAGAGTGGGGAGGGCTCGCCCTCTCTCTCTCTCTCTCTCGAAATGCTCTCACACGGCCACGCGCATATAGCCTCTGCAAGGAAAGTCCTACTCACTGCCTTCTCGTGTCATTACTGTTGTTTACGAAATTGAGAGGATGAAAAGCGAACGTCCGACGCTTTAACCGGGCTAATGGGCACGGCGAGTCTACCTAGGGGAGTTAGAAAACCCTCATTTCAAACCAATGGTGCACATGGCCTCCAGGATCTTGTGGGAACGAATGGCGTATGAACCTATCGTTGATCACTGACTACCATGAGATGAAGTCTCCTAATGATGTTCCACTGCTTTGTGGATCAGACCTTTAGGTCAAAAGCTCCGGGTGTGGCCCCCTGAGAAAACCACCTTCTTCGGTCTGGGCATCCGGGCAGTATCATCACAACCCTCACACAATTAAATGAAATGATGATTTTTGTGTGGCGCCAAATATCTCGTGCTCCCTTACACCAATATTTATGTGTTAAAATAAATAATAAGATTATATATATTTACGAAATTGAGGGGACGAAGAGAGAATGTCCGGTGCTTTGAACAATTTGATAGATACGAAGGATTCACTTAGGGGAGTTGGGAAATCCCGATTCCAAATCAATGTACACATAGGCTTCACGATCCTTAGAGTACAAATAGCGTGTGAACCTATTAATGGTCACCAGCCACCATGGGATCGCATTTCCTATCGTTGATCCATTGCCTTGTGGATTACACCTTCAGGTTAAAAGGATCGAGGAGTAGCCCCCTAAGAAAACCACCTGCTTCGGTTTAGGCAACTGCGAAGTTTCCCATCCGATACAGAGACTCAATGATTTGTTCGGTGCATATATATTTGGTGCCTCCTAGTACCTATGTTTAAGTGTTTAAATAAATACATAAATAAATAAGTAAATCAATAAATGGTAAGATATGAAGTTATATCGATGCATACCACTTAGAATTAACATAAGCGATAGAGATTGATAAAGTGCACTCATAAATATTACAACAGAAATTTACAAACATCTAACAGGATTTAAATTTATTTTCGGAATTGAAAAAAGCACTTGTGATTAAAATCAAAAGTGTAAAGCTGAATAGAAGATTAATGAACTCCACTTACAACAACTTGGTCAGGCAGATTTAAATCCTATTTCTTTTCATTCAAGTTAAGGTTTTCGGGAACCCAAGAAAAGTGTCACTCAACGTTCAGTCAACAAATGATAAAGATAATTTTCTATTGACATATTTCATGGATTTTTACTGAATTTCTGAGGACAGTCTTTTAAAATCAATGAGTTAGTTAACTGAGTGTACGTAGACATGCTCTTACACAGGCAAGACCACACAATAATGGAAAACGATGTAGTTATGTGTGTAAATCATAACATAATTGAGTTTGATGACTGAAACACATGCCCTCACTAATTTCAATCATTTGAAAACTCATAGACATACATTTCCAACTGTTACAAGTGTTATTAGCATTTTTTTTAAAGTCAATGCAGATAATTACCGAATCTTGGAATAATAAAGCGATCATAAATAACAATTTTTCTGCTAGTTATTAATGAACGCTCAAAACTACCCACAGTTAGTCGGTCAGTCAATTAGAGGTACCGTGGAACTTGGTACCTATGTGATCAATTCAAACTAACATAACACATGGGCAAATTGAAATGGAATAATCGAGACGAATCCAAGAGTAGTATAAGTAGTAACAGTATCAATACCAGAAAACAAGACTAAGCACAGAAGATATGACCGGAGAAGGAATGAACAGTTAAAAACAGAATTAACAACATTACGATGAAAATGTATATCAAAATTTCTAATAGAATTTACAGACAACAGTGGTAACCAATGCAATATCGAATAGAAACATAAGAACAATATGGGTTGAATCACGTCAAAGAAAGAGACTACTAACCTTCGTACGAGCGCTTAAATCAGCACCAGCTTCTAACAATTGACCTAACAAATCATGACGACCTTCTTTACATGCAATGTGCAAAGCTGTATAACCATCACGAGCTGGTAGATTCGGATTAGCTTTACATGATAATAATACAGCGATTAATTCTGGTGTCCCAGTTAAACATGCCACATGCAACGGTGTTTGTTCATCCTAAATCAAAAAAGATCAATGAGAGACAAACGGTTTACAAACGGAGATTATTATTATTATTATTATTATTATTATTATTATTAAAAATGAGATTATTGTAACTCTTTAACCAGACATGAAATTTTTAGGCAGCTGATGCTTGCTGTGAGATTCACAGTCAGAGACATTGTTTATGGATGAGTGCTGAAAATTAGATAAACACTTTATCGATTTCCACCTACAGTTACAAGAGATCCGCCGCAGCCCAAATACCAGAGTAATACCCCTAACTGCAATACTAGTGGAATTATAATTCCAAAGAGACCACCAGCTCCCTTAAGAGTGTCAACTAGGATCAAAGCTATGTTTACAACCCCCAATTCAATCAGCCAAATTATGTAACTATACTATTTCATGGTATCACGCAGAATTATCCGAAGAAAAACATAATTATTAAACAAAACAATACACTAACACACAAACACGCACAAGATAAGTATAAACCGACAAATTTAATTTGAATAAAACATTTCCCTCTATATCGCCATGAATATGGTATAGGGTGTGAGATGAGTGATGTTATAACCATTTACCTTGATGTTATCTACTTTGTAATAGATCGCTTTTTTAAAAAAAAATGAATGACTAGGCGATATGATTACACAACCACACATTTACTGATTTTTCTTCCCATTTCGCTTCACAACTAGTATTTATGACACCAGCCCCTTCTTTATATGATCTGTTTTTTGTTCTCCATCGTAGCTGCTGCCTTGACGTGGTGGTCGGGCTTGCCTATTGTGATGACCAAACCGAGCTGTATTGGCTGGAACATATGTCTCTGTAAGTTCTACCATGCCAGGCGGGTCAATTGAAGAGCGGTGAGACTAAAAGCAGCAACTTAAGATCCGAGGGCGAAGTCGTACTGCTGACTGTAGAGGGATGTGACAGCAGTGAGGTGTTTCCCTCGGACAACCAGCATCTGCAGCGATGCTGCCTTCTCGCAAGAAGGAAAGAGTTAAAAAAGATCAACCATAAAAATATCAGGCCTCACCTTACCTCACGGATTTCCGTCTCCGACGGTAAGGCCCTTTGAAGAACAGAGCTAGCACATCAAAAACCTCCCACGAAAACGCCGTGCGTGACCGACCTCAAGCAGTTGTCCCTTGGACTCTGTGATCACGCTCTCAGGTCGTTAAGACCAACATTAATCCAACTGCCTTTTCAGGTCCCACAAGAAATATCCTTCCACAGTGTGAGCAGCCAGGAAGTGATATTATTCCGGATACCCGTAACAGCACACGAGACTAAGGTGGTCACATTCAAATCCTTCCTACACCTCCTAATAATTCTTTTATCTCTACAACTAACCCTTTATCACCAAGGTCCGCTAATGCAAACAATTCGAGTACACGGATCAAAATTCCTGATCTCCTGAAACCACGCTCTAAACTACATGTACGAACCTTGAAAGTCCGAACATTGTGCCAAATACGAAAACAGGCTTTCTTAGCTAGGACTTTAGAATCTCGCACCGTCGATGTGTGCTCTATCTCCGCATACAAGATCCGAGTAGCGTCATGCATTTGACCTCACCATGTCATAATAAAGAACCATATCGATACACGCTTCGTGTACCTGGAAGCCTTGATGTTGCTTCTCATGGCCTCGCTGGAGTAGGTATAGTATTGAGTCAAAGGGCAGAACTAGCTCTTTGGACTGAATCACAGTAGACAGTCGTCTGTGCGCTGTCCGACTAAACGGAAGAGTAAGGACTCGGAAAGATAGGGACACTTGTCGTTGCCTCTTCGTCATCTCCGCCTACTCTCCAACTGACTGCAGCTCAGATGATGTAAAAGATGAGTTTTACAGAAAGCTTTTCGACCTTCTCCGAAAAGTTAGGCGCTCTGATGTAGAAATAGTGGCTGGTGACTTTAATGCTCAAGTAGGTAAACTAAACGAAAGGGAAATCGTTTAAAGGAGATTTTTGTGGACATTAAAGGTATAATTTTTTCTTCATTTACATATGACTCGGGTTTAATTCACGGTTATTGACAGATATATATACATGGTGCGTTGCGATCGTGCGCAGATAGTCGATAATGTATTGACAATGAGAATAATTATTTCATTGTAGCTCACGTGAAAAAGGAATATATAATGACAATGTAGAAGTGAAGAAAAAACTTACGAGTGATTTTTATAATAACAATACCCAAAAGAAAGGACAATTTACCATGTGGATTTGTAATCGTTTATTTGCATAATTTGAAGTTAGCAATAGTCGTATAGATACATATCCTAACGTAAATATTTATTCCATTTATATTATGAATGGAAAAAAAATGAAAGTAACTTGAAATCGATTGATGTTTGAACCTGAAGCTCAGTGATTGAAAGCTGATTACTTCAAACATTAAACCATTACTACACTAAATTTTAAAGATATACCACTCAAGAAAGCCATTTGAGTTGTCATTAATAGAGGTAGAAAAAAGTAATTCAGCTAAAGTGTTACACTTTATAA